TCCATCTTAGTTGGCTATTTGTGGCCTCGTTGTTTGAAGACCAACCAGTCCTTGTCGACGTTTCCTCTCCTCGACCTATTAAGCGTATCCTACCCTCAGCACCTCTTCGGCCGCAACCGGAGAATGGAGAAGAAGTTGACCCCGCAGTAGCTGCTAAGCAAGCTGCACAGGATGCAAAGCATTCAACTTGCGTTACCGTCTTCACGGCACTTGGCAATCATATTCTGGCTGGCACATCAAAGGGTTGGATCAACATTATCGAAACTCAGACCTGCAAAACAATCCATTCCACCCGTTTATGCAACGGTGTTATAATACTTCTGCGTCTTGCAAGCAATGGACGGGATTTACTTGCGAACAGCTCCGACCGGGTGATACGCACCATTTTAATGCCAGACCTTTCACAGCTTGGCGTTAACCTTGAACCATCTAATATCAAGCTCGACATAGAACACAAATTCCAAGATGTGGTGAACAGGTTAAGCTGGAACCATGTTGCTTTCTCTGCAACGGGTGAATTCGTGACTGCATCCACGTTTATGAACCATGACATCTATGTCTGGGAACGCAGCCATGGCTCACTTGTCAAGATTCTTGAAGGCCCGAAAGAGGAGCTGGGAGTAGTCGAGTGGCACCCAAACAAACCCATGGTGGTAGCCTGTGGGCTAGAGTCTGGCGGTATATATGTGTGGTCTATTGTCACGCCACAGAAATGGTCTGCGTTAGCGCCTGATTTTCAGGAAGTCGAGGAAAATGTTGAATACGTCGAGAGGGAAGATGAATACGATATCCATCCTGCTGAACAGGTTCATCAGCGCCGGCTTGATCTAGAAGATGAGACTCCGGACGTGCTTACTATTGAACCTGTCAAGGGAGAAACCGGTGATGATGGACACGAGACGTTCCGCATGCCTGTCCTCTTGGACATATCAGATAGCGAGAGCGAAGAGGATATCATTGCAGTGGGGCCTGGAACAATGAGAAGACGCAGCCCTGGCTCCGGACGTGAGTGGATGAATAATAACAGCAGCAACAATGTAGCTGCGTCCGCTACCGCCAGTGGCGATGTTTACGATTCTGACGGGAGAAGACAGGCGACATCGAATGGCATTGGTAGAGCGCAGAATAAAGGACGCCGGAGATAACCTAAACCAGCCTTTTAAAAAATGGAAATTGAAAAAAGAAACAAAAATAAAATCAAAATATAAAATGGAAAAATATAACTCGATCAGATAATAGTCGAGTAACTGATCGTCACAACTTAACAACTTTATCCAGCACGCTTGTAATTGATGAACAACGCCATCTGTGCCCCGTTTTTATTTCTCTTTCGGCTGTTCACGACGTCATATCAGCGGCACGCCTTACGATAGGGATGCACTGGACTAGCTATGACGAAACGTCACCTCCAGCCTCGCTACTTTTTCCCTTCTGTGGGATGATTCTCTAGGCTAAGTTGAAAGGCAAAAATTCTCTGCGGGCATCCTCAACGCAGCCAATCGTACATACTTATGTGGTACGTCTAGACATGCTCGTCCATTTACTGCATGTCTGCACGAGTCCCAGGATGACCTCAGCTTATCGAAAACTGCCCAATATCTTGCGCCACGTCTCCTGGATGTCAATAATGGGTCCCAGGGTCGACTCCACGCAAAGATTTGAATATCTTCCGGGTATGATGCAAGCAAGCATCTAACATGAAACAATGAAGCAGGAACCCCTTCCCTTGTCCCACGAATCAGCGTTTCTTTTGAGGAGACAACATGTTCAATTTCGAACCATGTTCTGTCTTATACTTCACCGAGTACTCCGTACATGTATACGAGATCATGGGCTCTTCTGGTTGACAAATGAACGTGGAGACAGCGTCATGCATGGGTGGATTTCATGCACCTGCCTTAGTCACTGTCGATGACCCTTGTCACCAACCCCAATGGTATGTTGCAGGGAATTCTGCAGGTATTCATAATCATGACAAACGTGAAGCTAACCGACCCCCTTACTTTTCTTTTAGCTAGCCCTACTCCGTACCAAGGAAAAGAAGATGCCGCTGCTTCAGCTAGTCGCTGCCACATACACGCTCAACTGGAAGAGAAGGCTGTAACTTTGTTCCATCCAGCTTGCTTGGTAATTTCACAGCTCTTGGTGCATAGGCAGAAGGGCGAGATAGAAGGAGAGGGGAGATAAGTGTGTATGACGCAGCGAATAAACGTCCGCAAGCAAGTAGTAATCAACCACAGGAGTATTCAGGTTGTAGATGCTCGATGTTGTCACGCGAAGATTGGATCTGAATTTAACAATTAGCTCCTCTCCAGGGTTTGCTAAGGAAATATAATTAACCACTAGCTACCATGAACGCATGGTGACTAGGAGCCGAGTTAATATCAGACATTCTCAACATGTTTTAATACGGAGATATCTCCGTCCAAGGTATGGGGAAGCAAACGGGAAGTTGACCTCCTGAGGAGCCCCAATCTTGCGAGTCAACTGCTTTTGTCAGGGATATTATTTTTGAAGTTAGTTACAGGGGCAACAGACTCCCCTATGGTGTAAGTACTCCGTACATTGCCACGATACCTCGTATAACTATTACCGGAAACCAACTCCATTTTCGGAGAGTTGTACGATGTGTTACAGAGTTAAATTGTATTTCAGGACGGATACCTTGGTCGTATTATGAGGAAATAGAAGGACTTGTCGTTTACTCCTATGAAGTGCGTTTCGAATTTAGCAGCACAGAAGTGAGGCTCACCCGCAGCAAACTAACTAAATCTTAATTAAGTAACTAGTTAGCTGGAGGAATAGTTAGTTAATTGATATCGAGTATAGAATACTCCAATGTCAGGCTAATTAGCTAACTACAATAACAACTAACTACTTAAGCACCCTTACGCTGGAGGAAGAGGCGGGCATTAGCGACCAAACAACGCCTGCTGGTTTGATACTGTTGCAAATTCCTTTTTTCACTGGTAACGACTATGGCAGAAAGTACATGTAGTATATATACAAGCTAATGCCAGTAGATGCTCGGTAGTTACGTGAGAATATACGGCCCAGGGAAAGCACCGCAACCGATGGGCGTGAAAGCTATGACCCTATCGAACAGTATAACGAGCCCACTACGTATTGATAACCGAGACAGAATGAAAACAGCAAAGGAGGATGACGGGGAATTTTAAGGTAACCGTAGGAGACCCTCTATATAAAACAAAGTACAAAGGCACAGCATGACCATCAAAGCAAAGAAAAAGGAGGCAGTCAAGGAAAAGAACAAGGTAACTAACCACTCGTTATCGTAGCAATAGATCATCACCATGAATCGTCGTCCTGAGGAATGATCATAAAACAGAGAATACTCCTCCCTATATAGCCAACTCCGGCATGCTCTGCCAGCCTGAGGAAAAATAACAAAGAAACGATAAGCTAACCGAGTTATGGGATGCAAGACGTCCACACAAACTTTTTCCCGGCCATTCGTAGATCCGTCGCCTCTTTACTTACCTTTTTACCCTTTACCATTCCGGCGGGACAGGACAACGCTTGATAAGAAATTGGGAAAAAAAAAAAAAAAAAAAAAAAAAAAAAAAAAAAAAAAGCCCATCAGACATGCAAGCAAGGGTTGAAGCGAGGAGAATGCATTGAAAACACCCAAGAAAAAGAAAAGGAGCCGTTTCCCGACTGCCCAATGATAGGGAACATAACAACTTCAGAGACATAAATGTTGGGAGGCAAGTGACGGAACCGCAAGACCCGAGGACAAGGAAACAAATATAAATTCTGGCAGAGACGAACTGGTGGCGAGAAGCTGCTGGCATATAAGCTGGAGAATATGTAGCATTCCCCCTGAACTATTCCGCTTGCCGTTTCTGTTTCGTCGCATATGTCAACCCTGTGGAAATTTCCCTGAGAAGAGGACTGACAGGCCAAGATGCGACGTGGTCGTGCATAATATGAATGGGTATATTCTACCCTTGTCCTGACAGCCGGTGACCCAAGCATCGGAATACATTTGACGAAGCTGTTCCCCTGGCAGTCGATTTCCTTCTGAACTGTTGTCCTTATTTTTCTTTCCTTTTTCCCTCCAGCTCAATCTGCCAGCAGTGCCTTTTCCCATCTTTCTGTCCCCGAGGCTATCCCCCCTTCCAGGCCAAACCAAAATCCTGGGATTCCTATCATTTACATTCCATCATTTCCGGCAATCCTCCTAGCATGTCCATACTTCCCTTTCCTCCAGATAGTTGGGGTTTTAGTTCCTCGACAGTCATCTGTGAACGGCGGGAAATGTGCTCGAGATATCGGAATTTCACAACACTCCGGGGATGTGAAATGTGAATCTGTGTATATGGAAAATATACAGGGTAACCACAACATCCCCTGAGCATCGGCTTTCGGTTCAGCATTTCGACGAATTCATCGGATCCATTTGGAAGTCAAATCCTTCTCCCCATGCGACGACACTAGCTGGTACTTGATCCGATCCCTAGTGAAGTGTCACTGTACAGGGGGGAGGAGGGAAGAGGGAGGGACATGGCTAGCTGCGCGATATAAACTCAGCAAAAATCACAATGCTCGTTTAAAGGATGTCACGGCCATCAACTCAAGGCTGGTTCGTATGATTCAAGTGTGAAAAAAATACCCTTTTCTCCTTCCGGTTCCTTTGGCCATCCGTCTTTCCCATGTTTTCGCCTATCGCTTCCACCTCCTTTACATTCATTCGTTCTTCCCGAAATTCGCTCTTCTTTCAAAATCATACTTCTGTCGTCCTGTATTGTTCGTCCTGCAGGAAGTAACTGCCGGCAACCAAAGGTCCAGTGGCAATTTGGTTCTTATAGTCACCCATTAATGGGCAGTTAACAGTTTTTGCTAATCGGATAGCAATGATGAACAGTAGCCCGGAAAGGTTACGGACCAGTTACACTTGGGGGACAAGAGAAATGGGGTACTCAGATTCTAGCAGATGCTGGGTGCATCCGACAAAGAAACCCAAATTTTGAGTTGTCTCACCTTGGTTTCCGCGCCGTGTAAACCTGGAGATGATTCCACGCCTGGACATTTTTGTCATAGGCCTGAGTTATCGCTTGATCAGCCAAGTCCTGGATGCGATCAAGAGACATTCCACTTATTCGAGTAAGTGGTCCTTGCAAGAGCGTCAGTGCACTCTCTGAGAACGCAAGATTGTACCACTTTCCCACCAACTTGTCAGACGGGTCCTCTGGCCACTCGTTGAGTGGCAATCCCTCCACATGTTGCCTGACATCGACAAATCCAGCCTCCTTCAGAGTGTGTTTCATGCTGCGATTGAAAGCAATTGGCCGCATAGCCTTATCTGTGGCAGCCTTCAGCTGCCGGTACCATTCCGAGAGATGTTCGTTTGGCATGCCATTGACGGTAAAGGGCTCGAAGTCAATTTCGACCTGTTCGAAATAACCGGTTCCGGGTTTCAAGTGCGCAAAGACCTTGCTGTACAAGTTGGGCCAGTTCGAAACACTCCCGCAACCCATCTGAAGATGAATAAAATCCCAGGAATTCTCGCCTAGAAGCCAGGGGCTCTCAAAGTCCCGTGGAGATTGGAATTCACAATTGGGAGGTCGATTGGTGGGTTGCATAGGAGCTAGGTCGATCCCAAGCACATATGCGTGAGGATATTTCTTTGCTATGTCGATTGCCCAGATACCTATCGTATTTGCCAAGCGAAGCACAAAAAATAGGTCAGACCGGATTCTGCCCTCAAGACGAAAATGAAAACGGGTTTGTGTAATAAGAGACAGATATATAAAAAAGGTGCGAGACAAGTCCCAAAAAGGGTGCATTGGCCGCGTGCATTCCGGGTTCCAGAAAGAGACTGAAAAAAGATGACAAAAGGGGAGGGGAGGGGGGGCAAATGTGATAAAAAGACTAAAATGAGGAAATTTCAGTACCTGTTCCGCAGCCTAGATCGAGTATCCGAGGCCCCTGATCATGGATTGAAGTGGGATTGCGCATTATGCTTGGGGGAATCTTGATGTTCGGGCTGTGCAGTATCTCCTTGCGGGCCACGCAGAGCACCCGGTGGAAGAGGTCTAACCGATCCTGCTCATTCTCGTCGCAGGGATACATGTACATTCCTCGTCGAAAGCCATGGTATAGCCTCCCGTTCTCCTCGTAGCTCGGGTATGTGTCGACCTGGCTGCATCTGGGTCAGCAACAGGACCAGGGAAAAAGGGGGAGGGGCGTGGGTGCTGATGATAGCGGTTCAGGGCACAGGCTCTCGGGCCTCGAAATTGAACTGCACAACCCATGACAGCAGAAAGCATTACATGAATTTAGAGGCCATGGAAAGAGGATATCACAATCTCCGTCTTATACCAAGCAAAAATGAAAACCACAGCAGCAGCAGCAGCAGCAGGAGAGAAGCTGGACTTGATACTCACACGTGATTGCCTAGTGCCCCGCTGTCCATATCAACATCTTCATCCTGATGCTGCTGTCTCCCTTGACCGGACGACCTGGGAGACTTGCCAGTCACAACGGAAATGTCCATTTATACGGACCGGTGGTGATCGAGGCTGTTTGCGCGCGCGGACGAGCTATCTTGCTGGGTGGGGTCGGTCGTTGAAGAACCGACCCTCGATCCAGAGACCACCAGGGGAGAAACCGTACAATCCACTATGGAGGCCGCTTGCACAAAAGTACAGGAGGAGAAAGGGAGGGAGAAGAACAACAACGACGCCGTAGGGTCTGCTCTGGACGCAGGCTCGTGGTAGAAACGAATTCGCTTGGGGGAAGGCCGTGGATTGAGCGGGAGTCGCGGTTTTTTCACTTTTTGACTGGAGTTGAAGATTTGAAGAATTCCTGAAGAATCAACAAGGAAAAGAAAAGAGAACAAACAGGTAAGCCCAAAGACACCCAAAGAGTAATAAAAAAAAAGAAGAAGATTTAAAAAAAAAAAAAAAAATAACAAAAAATAAAATAAGAATAGAAAATAAAAGAAATAAAATGCCCACAATACAAGTCAGCTGACGATTAATACAGCTCTGCGATGATAAACTCCGGCTCGCTCTGGGGTGGGAAGAGACGAGAGCCAGATAGAAGCAGAGAGGCCTTTTCCCTCTGCTGTCTCGTTTCTTTTTTGTCTGCTGGGCGGCCGGGATGGCGAGGGATGGAGCTGGCCTGGCGTGGAGGCTGAAGACGAGAGAGGCGGATGCCGGACGGGGGTTTGAAGATTTGGTCTGATTGAAAGATTCCGGTCGGACTCTTCTAGTCTCTGCTGGTGGCTGCCAGTCCTTCTAGTCCTTCTGGTTCTCCTGGATTCTGTGATGAGAAGGTGGATAGGCGATATCGAAAAGGATCGGAAGTATATACATACGTATATATATATATATATACAGACACACATATATATAAATATACTATGTAGATGCTGAAGACATATATATAGAGTTGTATATCAGGGCAGCAAGCAATTGATTGGGCAGCCAGGATGAAAAAGCGGGAGCTTTTTGTTATTTTTTGCACTTTTCTGGCTCCCTGCTGGGGTGGAAGGGGATGATGTATTTTTTCCCTCTCTTCTCGTTCGTTTGAAAAATTATGCTGATTAGTTTTTTTTTTTTTTTTTCTCCTCCCTTTCCTTTTATCCTTATTGTGTTTTTTGTTTTTCCGTTTCTTGTTTGACCTTTAAGAGGGCTAAGGTTGACGGACAGCAGCAACGGACACAGCTAACATGCAGAAACCGAAACCTTCGATCCGAAAAGTGGGTGTGAAATGACACTACTAGATGTGGAGGCCGGAAAAAGGAAAAAAGGAGAAACCGGGAAACACAAGACGTAAGTAATACTGAAGAGTCCTGGGAGTGGGAAGAGGAGCCAGTGCTGGAAAGGGGTGTTTGGGAGGATGATTGGGGCCGACTGGATGGAAGTCGTTAAAAAGGGGTTGTGTTTGCCGGGCCTGCTGGACGCAGAGAAGAGCGGGTTGGACCTAAAGACGGCGGGAGAAAAGGGCATATAAGTATCAGCCAGAATGCCTTGAAACCGCTCTGGATGGGAGATGTTTAAAAAAGAACCGAACGAGCGAAAAGAAAAGAAGGCGAAGAGACAGAAAAAGAAACGAGAAGAGAAGATGCTTACACTTTTTGATACCGGGTATGGTAAGGCCATCAACGGGGGACCTGGTAAAAGGGTAACGTCAACAGAGTTAACACAAGCTAAGCTGGAAAAAAAAGGTGAGGGAGGAAGCAGAACGATGCAAAGAAAAGAAACGAGACGCATCCAGTTCCCAACCTTATCAGAGCAAGCAGCTATATTAGCCTCAGACATCCGGGAACGAGTTTGGGCCAGAAAAGGGTGAAGCGGCGGAGATGACAGCAAAAGGGTTGGATGAGAAGAGGTTGGGGACAAAAAAGGGGGCGTCGTCTCGATGAGATTCATGCTGGCTGCTGCCTCTGCTTCCCTCTTACGCTTTTTATTTTTAACAAGAGCTAAATCTTATTGATGTTTGGCAGGCAGGGATGCCTTGGGGAAGCACAGATTGATCTTCGCTAGGCAGTTGATTGGATTTTTTCACTTTCGTTTTTCCCTTCAATTTTAATTATTTTGCAGCTCCCTCTCCGTCCTGTGCGGCTTTCCTCTCGTGCATGGTCGGTTGACAAAGTGTACTCCGTGCGGAGTATGGAGTATACATAGCTCAGCCTTCACTGTTGCGGCGCATCCTGAGGAAGCCATACTCTTCACGAACCTGGGCATGGGTGGCAGAGGCTCGCTGCCTGAGCATCGATATGCATACACTTATGTCTTTCGAGCACGGCGTACGGTGTAGCAGGGTCTCCACCACATGGTTCAACGACTGACGGCCAATCGATCGATATAAAGGCCACACAGAAGTGATCGGTCCTACTCTCACACAGACACAAACAGAGTAATATCGTCAGAATAATATATATTCTGTATCGTGATGTTAATATACCGACTTTCAGAGCGGGTCTTTTCTTTTCTTCTTCTCCGGGCGCCTCAAAGTATGTGCATCTTCATCTGTGCTCCCGTTTAGTTAGTTAACTCGTACTAAGCTGGGCTATCCCTTCATCCTTTTTCCCAGTCCCGTGGGACGAGGCACAAGCCTCGGGACGACGTGGCGAGGGAGCTGAGCAGCAGGAAGGACTCTGCTCTGAATCTTTAGCTGGGAGAAACCCTCCTCGTCTGACGTGTTACTCCGTCTAGGAATCTCAAGAAGAGGCTGACTAGGGTCACAGGAGATATGTTAGAAGATCGTGGTAGAGATAACGCCGTTCAGACTTGGACGGCCATTTTTGACCATGGATGTGACGTTCAAGGGGGCGCTTGTCGAGGGGGACGGGGACCTTGCATAAAAATGCTTACCAGGCACAGCAACCAGAAGTCTGATTCTGCTTTCGTGCCTGACAGATGGGTTAGTTATGTTAGTTGGTTTATCTCACCTAGGATCCAGGATGATGAAAAAAGAATAAGTAAAATAAAAGCCCTCGACCGCCATGAGGTCAAAGAAAATTGACAAAAAAAAAAAAAAATAGAAAAATAAAAACTCGTCCGGGACATTCTAGCCTTTCACATGCCGAGATTTCTCGCGGGGGCTGCAAGGAAAGAAAGCGCTGTTGAACGATCCCGGAGGAGTGGTCGTTGGTGGGAGAGAGGGCCATATATTGGGCGGAGTCGCATGCTGCTGTGCCGGGAATCACCAATAATAAATTCATCCCCTTTCCCCAAACCAACGAGGGAAGGGGAAAAAAAAAATCGACTAGGCCGCTGAGGAGACTGTCTATCGAATGCTAATAGTACTTAACTAATATATAGGGAATGACGCCAACAAGTTAGCTGGTTTCGTTGTATATGTAATACGGAGGAGTGTGCAGGGGTATGATATTACCGCTGGAGCCTTCAATACGGGCGATTACCTGCAGAAATATGGGAGGCGATCAGAGTTTCATGCGTTTGGATGTTGATGCCGAGCGAAGAAGAAAAACTGGCACGGCAAGTCTCGCGGTCCCACGACAGGAAGTACGCAGGAAATAGGGCTGCTGATGACTGGCTGTTCTCTAGGCGCTTTGTATGCACGCATGTCTGTCCTCTGTCGATAGTGGAAGAAACAATTATATATGCAAGGTCGACAGGCGCTTACCCAGAAAGGCGAGACAGCAATATGGCCGATCGAAGACCCGAACAGATGCACAATAATAACAAGAGAAAAGAAGAGCGGAGTAGAATGAAAACCAATCGTGCGGTTGTTATGTGCGCTGCGCCGCTTCCTATTCACATGGGATAACGGCGAGCCGCCGAGAATGAAATGTCATCTGGTGGCTATCTGGCCTTTGTTTTTTCGGGGGATTTTTCCCTCTCCCACATAAGTAGGTATCCCCACGCTGGCAGGGGGGTGGAAGGATGAGTGTGTACCCGAGTTCACTTTGCCTTGCGTCTTTGCTCTACTTTCCCAATCCTTGGTGGTCGTTTTTGTTAAGTCTCTTTTAAGACACTCCATCATACATCATCGACCTGTGTGGACCCATGGGTGTGTGGTGTATGGCATGGATCAGGGTTACTGCCAAACGATTTGCTGGGAGCAGCCGCTTGCCCGTCACACTAGCCTCCAGTTTAGCTGTAATCGGCGGTGAGGATATCAAGCAATGACCTCTGGTTGGAGCATGGCAAGACATGATGTTGTTTTGCGCTGTTCTGGTTCTGCCTATCCTAAGTCATACATCATCCCATCTCTCGGGCCCTCCTGGAACACGAAGATGCGAGGCTCGGACAAGAGATGACACAAAAGGTCGAGAATGAGAACGGCCATGCTTACTGACACTGGCGCCCCCATCCCCCCCCCCCCCTTTTTTTTTCTTGTCTCTTGTGTATGTTCTTTCTCGGCCCCAGCCGACACCTAGCCAAACCAGATAGTCATCAGCTGGCCCATGGTAAGGTTCGGTTTGGCGGAATCATACCATGGTTCATCACAAGCCGCTCAGTGGAGCCTTGCCGGAAGTCTAATACGAATGAATGAGTGACAATTAGCTGGCTCTGAAAATCCAGTTAATTAGCCAACTTAGGCATTTGCTAATAAAAGGGGAAGGTTGGACTTGCTGTTTTCCCCAGCGCATTGAATATTATTTGATGAAAGACAGGGGGGGAGAGAGAGAGAGAGAGAGAATGTGTGGGTGTAAAAAACACTCCCCTCGAAAAAAGGAACGAAAGATAAATGATCTCCTCTTCTCCACCTGCATGCGAGCATACTTGGCGCAGCGTCAACTGGGGATAGAGAGAGAGGGGTTCTGATATTAAGATGTCATTGTGTTGATGCTGGGGGGGCTTGCAGAACGTGCATCCAGAGGGAACCAACCCCCTGGCTTTGCAGTCTGGACATGCACACTTTGCTGGTTCATGAGCATGCGCATCTATCACGGTTCCATACGGGTAGGGAGGTGGAGTCTGGCTGCATTGATGAGTTGTAGCTAGTTAGCCCATCAAGGCAAGTCGAAAGGCAAAAAGAAGGAAAAGGGAAAAGGGACGGGAGACGACTGGACGATTATTTTTGGATTTGGCTTTGAATGGAGTTATCTCTGTAAAATGTCATTAAAAATAATGGAATCCAACATTTTGGCATGTTGAAGGGAGCCTCCCGGTTGGCAGAAGAGTTGGTTAGCATCTAGACTTTTTGGGTTGTAACGGTGGAATGTTCCGTAATAAGTGTCTGAGTCCTTCTGAATCTCTATGTCAAGCACGCATAATAGATTGGGTGCTTGGGATTAAGGGTTGGCCTGCCTGACTCGCCGATATGAGCTGGACATGTATCTATAGCTGACTCGACATAACTATTTGACTGTTCTGTACGTGGCCTGTTGACCTCGCCGGAAATAAGGCTAAAGGGTGTTTAATATACGGTGTACTTAGGGACGCCCGCAAGGGTGCTCGCCCGTGTCTAGCTTGCCCAGTATTAGTATCTCGCACAGAGAATAGCAAAAATCTACACACCTATTCCGTACGACGCCGTTGATTTCCAACTCCTTGTCAGAGCAGACTAAGAGGATGCGGTTAACTGGAACTATCACGGTCCACCTCCCCGAGTGACCTCATAGCCATGAATCTTTTCAGGCTGTGATGCCGTTCTTCTTTTTTTCCTTGTCTCTCCTGTCGCCCTGCCCCATACGAAGTGCATTAGCCCATACATACGGATAAATGCATGGTGCCAGATCAGGTCGCATTAAGAAAATGCTCTCAACTGCGCTTCTCATCAAATCGATATACCCTGAGTGTAAATGCATGGAAGTCTCCCTCCAACGGGGGTTTATCGCCACGTAGGGCGAGCGATAGATCAGCCCAGAAAGAAATTCAGGCACCAGCTTATTTTGCAGTTGGATTTCTATTTGCAGCTTTGCTCCCTTCTTTATTTTCACCATGTCGTAGTAATGATATTTGTTTTTTGATCGCATTTTGACCAAGCTTTAACCGACTTGAACATGCGGCGCAGCAACGGGCGAGCAAGGAGAAATGCAAACCACGGTATGTGGTCCAAGGCGTCGTCAGGCGGGTTGACAACGGAGAGGGGTGTTACTTTTGCTTCTGCTACTGGTCCTCTTTCTGTTTATCTTGGAAAATGTCGCATTGAATAGTTGCTGGTGGGACAAGAGCCAGCTTCAGTATTGGTGAGCTAAGTCTTATTAATGCGATCTATCAGAACAATTGTAGCCAATGGAATCTGTTCAGGTTGAGCCAGGCAGGACGAGAATGAAATATTCCCCGAGCAGAAAGGTTATTAGGACCGAAAAAATCAGAGAGGGTCCGTACCGTGGGGGCAAGGGGAGATCCTCGGGGGCCTGCAGTCGTTCGTTCGTTCAAACCTTGGTTCTTTTGACCCAATAGCCTAGCCTTCAGGTAGAAGTGATGACTACCTGGTTGGCATTGTCGGCCAAATGGAATCCTATATGTTACCAGTGCGCTCATTGCGTTTTACCTGTAGGTCAACCAACTTCTCCATCTCACATAGCCATTTCTTCTCAAACTGCTCTCCAGAGAATCTTTGCGCGGACTTTCTCGCTCTTAACCTCATAGCAAGCTTCTCTGATTCTGGTAGAGCTAATGCAGCTTCAAACGCAGCAGCGAACTCAACTTCGGTCGTGGCATGGAAACCGGTGGCTCCTTCGTCGTCCAAATCTACGACAATATCACGCTTTGGCCCACCTGAGTTGTGAACAACGCTAATTAGGCCGGCAGCCTGGTATTCTACCACCCCGATACCAAAATGCTCGTTCCACATAGCATTGACGCCAATAGACACCTTTCTAAGATTTTCTATGACGGTTGGCCAGTTGGCGTCACAGAGGAAAGTGGTGTTATCACGAATCCGTAATTCGTGGGCCAAAAGGCGAAGATTGTAAATATGCGTTTCATCCGAGGTCTGGTGGCGGACTGAGCCGATAAGAATGAGCTGAGGCGAACCGGAGCGACCGTCGCCATCAGCGCTAGCTTTGGGGTCTGTGGCACTTCTGCTCTCAGCTGTAGCGTTGTATTGCTTTAAAAACCGTGCAAACGCGTGCAGAATAAGTGAATGGTTTTTCTCAGGGCGAAACTGAGCTATGTAAAGAATAGCGGGCTGTCGGACTTGTTGCTCACTCCTCAGGTCAATTTTTATTGACTCTAGTTCAGATACCGCAACAGGGGGAAAAACTACACTTGCAGTTTGGTATTGATTCCCTCGCCCTCGCCTTGAAGGTAGCCAGAGACGTTGGATGTGCTCAGATGTCCAGGTTGAATTGCACATAACAACGTCGATCGTAGATCCTACCCAGCCGTATAATCGGGCAAACATGCGCCAGTAATGTTTTTTTATAGCTCCTTTCCAACCTTTCCCGGCCCCTGAATTTAGGCCTTTGGAACCTGATGCGTCGTCTAGGGACTCTAACATGTCAGTTGAAATGGTAGGGTAATGCACATACGCGCCCGTAGGGACTTTGGGGAAAAGATAATGAGATAATGCTGAAGCAAAAGCATAACCCATTGTATCAATAAATATATCAGGAACGAGGAGGGTGAATGCATCGTGTGCAAGAATCAGGGAGCCTATCGATTGCCCAAGGAGAGTAAAATGAGGCCATGTGCTACTTAACACGTATCTTCGCATAGATAGGTATAAGAACACAACTGTGGGCGGATGTAGCTGAATATTGAACCGTCTCTATTTGCCTGTAAGCTGATTGATCGTATGCTCACCAGAGAGTATAGGTACCCCACCTCTATGTTTTTCAACATTGTAGCTTTGTCCACGTCGTGGTCGCCCGTGTATACGGCGCAAATGGCCTTCGGCCACCTCTTTTGAACAGCAGCTATAGCTGCCCAGAGAACTCTTTCACCGCCTCCTCCGGCATTGCTGCGTGGTGGGTGTCAGCAACTTTCATATGACCTCAGAAGATGCGGGGGATGCGTGCGTATCTCACCAGAACGGATGAAAGAACCCTACAATACCAGCCCAGTCACTGCAGTTTCTTCCATTACTGCTAGATGCTGATGAGCTTTGTCCATTATCTCCTCCATCTTTGTCAACGGTCTCCCAATCTTCCTCTTCCACCTTCAAGCCAGTGGTTTGTCTGGCTCTCCGCGACCTGTAATCTTCCTCCTCGACACGCACACGAGCTCGTATCAGTGCCCTTCTCGCCTCGGACTTCTTCTGGTTTAGATATCCTAGCCACTGAAGGGCTGACCGCACGATATAGCCGGGTAAGGAGGGTGTAAAAAGGACTAGGGAGACCAATGCCACCACGACTGCAACTGCTGCTGCCACAGGGGAGAGCATTGTAACGCAATTTATGCAGACTCAGCTGAATGCCAGGAACAATAACCAGCTTTGGCTATCAATCCATATCCAAACCATTAAAATATAGGAATAACAAGCGAGCTGCCTCCACCAAGATAGCTTTTCTATACAGGCTTAACTTGGCCTTCCAGCAGGTACTAAATGAGGGATACTTGTTACTTGGTCTAGTCGCCTTATCAGACCTGGATGACTCAGCAAGCTGCCTGTACCTGTCGGATAAATAGTATCTCCGCGAATCTTAAGACCCGACCTTTACTTGATAAGGTAGGTTTGCACTGTTTGACTTGAAGAGCTTCTGGCCAACCTGAAAAAGGAAAAGAAACCGCGAAAGACACGGCGACACGGCTTTCTTGACCGTTCCAATTACACCGAAACGGATGCATGGCGTGCCGGCTTATAGAGAGTTCAATTGCAGGTCCTCGTTCGCTTTCTTTTCGTCATCGTTCTTTTTTTTTAACACTATAAGATGTCACTCATGTGGCCTCGTCCTGGATTTTCAGTGTTAAGCTCCTTAGGATGCGGTCGAGTTTCAATTGCAGCACCGTCGAGGCGGAATTTCCACGCTTCGAATCCAAATCAAATTATAGACACCTCTGTTCTTGTTGCGCATGATGTTATCCAGGGATTTCATTCTATCAGTGGCCTACCTTGGGTGCTCTCAATTCCGATTACAGCTATTACGGTGCGGTGCTGTGTCGCCTTGCCGCTTCAAGTTTGGTCAATTCTAAAAGCTCAGCAATTGCAAAAGCTGAACCCACTTCTCCTTACTTGGAGCAGAGTCTGTCAAAAAAAAGCTATGGACGAAGCAATTATGGAAGGACGACACCTTTTTCCAAAAGCAATAGAAGTTTCCTGGCAACAAGACTTCAAGATTAAGAGGAAGGAGCTTTACAAGAGGTGGAAGATTCGTCCCTGGGCAGGCTATGCAAGCATTTTGCAACTTCCCGTATGGCTTGCTATGATGGAGAGCTTGAGAAGAATGGTTGGAATGTCAGGAGGCCTTCTGTCTATCATTCAATCGTGGATTGAATCAAAAGTAGACGGAGCCCCAATTATTGAGATTGAACCGTCCATGGCAATGGAAGGCGCCCTGTGGTTCCCCGACCTCCTCGTAGCAGATCCGATACATGTACTCCCTGTTGTCCTTGCGGCCTCAATGTTCACCAATGTCACCTGGGGCTGGAAGGTCAAATCTGCGGCTGAAATCTCCAAGCTACAGCGAAGTGAAGCAATTCGAGAAAGATCATTTAAGATCCTGAAGCGGGTTTTACAGGGGCTTTCTATATGGCTGGCGCCGGTTATGATCTATTCCCAAGCCCCAGCGGGCCTGTTGATATACTGGATCTCGAGTTCTACCTTTGCAACTGCGCAGACGCAAATAGTGCGCAGAGTTATGCGAACCAAGGCACCGCCAGCGCCTTGCCGTGAAAAGAGTGTAGGGAGCATCCATGATAAGACCTCTACGGCATTCAAATGAAAACAAAAGCTGTCAATATATACCCTGTCGTTATACTTGAAATGTAATTTCTGGTTGCTATGTCGGGCCATGGGGTCCTCAAAGATGTGACCATTAGCCGCCCAAGTGTAACGCCAGGGGGGCAAGAGTTGGGAAAAAGCTTATAACAATCAGCACCGGTGACTGCCTGTGGACGAGAGGCTTATTAAAGGGTATTAAATCATTAAGCATTTCAAAGGCAGATCGGTCATGCACCAGTTGCATCACAAGGACCTGTTTCATCTCTGGTTCTCCTGATCCTGATGAAAAATGCATGTATAATTCGCAGCCCTTGGAATGGGTAATGTGATGCTAGGATGAGGATTTTTAATCCCCATAAATACTACTACTGAGCTGTTATTGAGCTCAGATACTGCGGAAGTATTAAGATATCATCTTGTCATTCAATATGATATATCTTTTGCTTTACAAACCAGATTTGGATATAGGACTTCGCCAAATATTGAATACCTGGCGTTACGCGGCCACTAGCCACTTTCAAGTTAGATATGATATTCTATGGAACAAAAAAATTTAGCCGAACCATCATGCAAAGCGTCGAGCGAAGAGTAACGATACGGGATTTTCAGGGGCCGTTCAAACAAGAGACATTAAGAGTCCAAATATAAAAACGGGATATCAGAAACTTGTGAAGACACCAACACCAGATACGACTTGTACGATATGGCAAAAATACAGGCCTATAAAGGCATATAGAAATCAGAAAACATTATAGCCTGGGGGGTATCTTGTGTATTGAAGCACTAGCGTCCTGGTTCACGCTGACTGAGCCGTTGTTTTCACCTTCACCGAAGAAGATCACTTCGACTGTTAGGTCATCGCTAAAAATTAACATGTTAGCATTTGTCAATTAACTGAAACAAAAATTAAAAACATACCGGTATCTTCGCGCGTAGGGGCTGGGAAGGGTAAGAAGAGCGCAAACAAGTTCCCTATTCTTGCCCCCTAGAGCATTTCGAATCAAGTGAGTTGCTGCGTTCTTGTCTTCTACTACGAAACGGTTGGTATCCTGGGGAATCTCATATTGAACTTGACGGATGGGTAATCTCTGCCCGGATTGCTTTTCCTTCGAGTCCATCTCGACAGGCAAAGATCCGTTACTGCTGAACCAGCTCTTCATCCAGTTTCCCATACCATCCTTTCCACCGGACTTTTGATGTTCAATCCACTGCCCAACCAGGCCAACAACTTCTTCATTACTTAGCATTTCCCACAAGCCATCTGTAGCCAGTACCAAAAAATCACCTTTAGAAGGGTCAATTTTGGTAGTTGTGATAATTGGCTCCGCAGTAACATAAGGCGGCGATTTCAAGAGCTGGTTAGGAGTCCGTCCGAAGAAGTGCCGTTTAATTTTCTCTTGTGTTTTACGCTGCCATTTATATGCGGCATCACCGAAAGCTCGACTAGGTTCGAGACCTCCGAGAATTCTCCCATTCCGGACAACGTTGTCCTCCCCGGGGTGTTCGGCGCGCAAACGTTTGGCTTCAGATTCCGTGCCCCCAGTTTGGTCTTCAGACAGTGGTATGGCTGACCATTTACCGCTTGGCGACCGACGTCCTAGAACAGCCCGAGAGTCACCAGTACAAGCAACGCGTACCAACTTTGACCTGCTGTCATAGAATGCAAGAAGAGCGCATGACCCAGACAGAGCCGGAGCAAGAAGTTCGGCAGCAACAGTTTTAGAGTTAGCCTTGACAACTTTTTCCACGCTTTCGATCACAATTTCATGATCAAGTCGCAGGAATCCGGTCTTTATAGCGGCATCAATCGCTTCTGGGCTTGGGAAGGGGAAAGATGGGTTGGTAGCAGCCGACTTATAAGTGGCATTAAGCTCGCGAGCAACATAGGAAATCAGAGTCTGTCTGAGTTTCGCAGATGTGGTCCATCCACTGTACAACAATAAGTCAGATTTCCACCTGCGCAGAAGTGAAAGGAGGAGGGTAGAAAAGAGAGACTTACGCATGGCCATCAAAGACGCCCCAAAAGTTCCAGTCACTTGTTGGGGCCCCATTGTCAGTTGCTGCAACAGAGTTCGGTACTTCTACCACCTTTTCGGCATGATCGTCTTCAATAGGATCGTTGCTAGGAAGCTGGACTACATCGTAACGGACAACACCGGATCCACGCCCGATGAAATAGGATTCCTCATTTCGTCGAAGTCGTTCCGTGGCTTGCTCAGGCGTAAGCATCCCCACGACTCGCTCTCCCGAGTTATCTGTCCGTTTCGAGACTGGTTGATCAACACTAGCAGTAGTATAGAATTTGTCACTTTCCACCTGGACTCCTGAGGATGATGCCGAAGTTATTGCTGCATTTGACGCGGTGTGGATAGGACTGGATAACGTTGTGCTGGTTCCAGATACAGCGCTGGGTTCAGACCCTCCAGTGTAGGCATACCACGCTCCCGTGGCAACAAGACTCGAAGCAAAAGCCAAAGATAGGTTTCTAAAGATCATCGAGGACTGAAGAATGACAGTATGGCGCGGTACGGTAGGTCTTGATGTCGCAAGGCCTCGTAGGCCTATATCATGATATCGGGGGGAGTGGTGGAGTGCGTTGCCTGGTCTAAAGCATGGCCTTCGCAGTGGATACCGGCGGGCGGTTCGGAAAGCGTGGGCGACTACTCGACGCATCTGAGCATGGGATATCGGTCTGGAGGAAAGTGATAGCAACCGCCGCTGTTGCTTGGAACTTCTATTCTTCTAGCTCGCTTCGCTGCCTCTTGTATCTCGCTGGCGATAATAATAAGTAGTTTATGATATCTTCAAGGATGCTTTAAAGTTATCAGTCTCGTGACGAGGCTGATGTAATCATTAGTAACTTACATGTAACTAGTTAACTAGTTAGTTCACTAACCCGATTGATGTTCCGCCAAAGCGCCCTTGACCTTCCCAAGATAAGCAAAAGATATTTATCAGTTCAAGCCAGCCTTGATTTTTTACATTTTCGTACAGGCCGGAGAGATAGCGAAATAATCACAGGAGAAGGAAAGAATTATAAGTCAAAATGTCGTCTCGAGCCTTGCGAAAATTACAAAAGCAAAAAGAAGCCCAGCAAGATATAGAGGTGCAAAATGACTCGGGAGATAGCGAGCAAGATATCCCAATTTCACGGCCAAAGATCAATGCTTTTGATCTATTAGGCGACCAAGGTGGCGATGAAGATCGAGATGATTCACTTGAATCTGAGCCAGAAAGATCCGTTACTGAAGGGGACCATAACCTTGCCCCGCCGCTGGGGGTCTCAAAAGCTACCAGCGGCAGCAAGAAGAAGAAGAAAAAGAAGACCAAGAAACAGCAGTCAAAGAAAATTACAGGGCCAGCAGAAGCGAATACCCCAGAGACCCAAGCCCTGGAGGTTGATGAGATAGACCTAGCTCTTGAAGCTTTGGCACTTAAGCATCCTACACCAGAGGACCAAAATGTCCAACCGGGAAGGGACCTTCATGGCTCTTCTGAGCAGGGTTTATGTGCTCTCTTGGAAGTAGATGCCAAAAAGCTCATTGCCATGAATGAAATGAAAAGACTCTTTGGAAATGCTGCCGTGGAAAGCCGGACCTCCCCATCTGATAGCCTACCTGGAAACAGGCGGAGAGAGCGGAATAGGCGAGCCCTAGACTTAGGAGCCGCGTTAACCGGGAGGTACAGCCCTGCGAGTAGGGGACAGGACCTCTCGGGAGTTGCACTGCGTAAAAACGTGCTTATGCAAGGCAAGGCTGAGTGGCCAAAGGCGACGAGTGGTGGCCTGGGGATGGAAGTTGTCCAGAAATCACCTACAGGAGTTGTGGAATATGAAATACTTCATAATACAGCTTATAAGGATGTCCAGCGTCAGTTTGACATGTGCGTGGAGTCAATGCAACCCGAAAGAATGATCGAGTTGCTTCAATATAATCGTGAGTTTTTTACCACCTCCTTACCTTTTCATCTCGCTGCAAGTGCTTACAAATTCTAAGCGTATCATATATCAACACTACTGCAGGTTTCTGAGATTGCAAAGCACCAAGGAGACCATGCGGTATCGGCTGACCTCTTGGAAAGAGCACTGTTTAACATTGGACGTTCAGCCCAGTCTTCATTTGGCAACTCTATAAAGGAGGGAAAGGCTCGACTGGATTTCACAATAAAGGAAAATCGTGAGGTATGGCTTGCGGGCTGGAGGTATATTATTAACCTGGGGATGAAGGGTACCTGGAAGACAGCATACGAGTGGACGAAATTCCTCCTGAGCCTTGACCCAGACGACCCGTATTGCTTATGCCTGATCATTGACCATATTGCGATACGAGCAAGGGAACTGCAACATTTTGTTGATCTGTGCCTACACCCTAGCTTTAAGAAGCGGTGGCATTTGTTTCCTAACATCCAGTGCTCCCTTGCCTTAGCATATATGTACTTGAGGAAACCAAAGGAGTGCCGAGAGGTCCTCCATTCAGCCATGCCCAAATATCCCTGGATCTTTTGTCGTCTCACACAGGAACTAAACATATCCCCCGTGCCGAAAGCAATCTGGGGCGCGCAAGCACCCAACGCTGCCCATGATCTACTCTGTGAACTCTACATAGCTAGGGCCAAAGACATATGGAATACTCCCGAGGCCACTTCTCTCCTGGTAGAAGTTGCCGACTCTATTCCGACAACTGAGAAGCCTCCTCAAGCACCTGAGATGTCACAGAACCTAGCACGGCATGTTATACTATCAGACATATCATCCGTGACGACCCACCTCCCACGCCACTTCACCATCCGACAAATATCAGCGTCGGACCCATTACCACCAAATGAGGTTGGGCTGTCTACCGGTCGCGCTGCGTCCATGATGGACGAGGTGCTTCAGTTATTTGGTGTAAATGAGCCAGACCACATTCAAACTGGTCGCCATAACCATAGACAGATCGACGATGAAGAAAATACTGACTCGGGGGAAGAATTGGACATGGCCGGCGTGTATCTGCCTCAGTCACAAGTCCCAGAGTGGCTTCTTGCTGGGGGGCAAGAGGAGCTCGCGGAATTCTTCAGAATCAACGGTGTGGACCCTGGAAATTGGGAGGAGGGGGTTAACATGCTGCCCATCCAACGATGGGTGAGAACCGTCCAGCGTCTGGACAGACAAGACTGGCGCCGAACCATCTCCACTGTCGCTGCATCGCTGGGCTCATCTACTGAGATGGTCGAGATGGTGCTGCTCGAGGAACTAGAACAACAGACCAGCGCCAGCTAGTTAATGGTATGTACTGCAGAGTACTTCGTAACTACCAGCTGTACCAGTAATCTCCGGTGTGGAAATGCTCTGTACTCTGCTTGATAGCTCGCCGTGTTGTGTCTAAGACAAGCTGAATATAATAATAATAATAACACTAAGAAAAGTCGAAGCCTCGCCAAGCTGGCGCCGTTCTGATGACGCATCAAGACAGAAACTTATTTTCTTTCCTTTTTATTAGTTAACTACTTATTATTCACTCTAGCTAACGAACTATCCAAGCCCTTATCAGCAGTGGCGCTATAGCCGATGGGAGAGGACCCGTAGTGAATCATTTTTATGCTCGCTGCTAGGGTTCGTTTTTCATGAGAATGCTGAAGAATGCTCAGAGCCTAACAAGACTGCATCATCGAGAGCTAGCTCTTGCGTGCGAAGCTTGAGAAGCCCGACTTTTCTGCTCGGTTAACTACTTACTTGCAGCATCACTAGAATAGCAGTAGCAGAAGGGGGGGGAAACACCATGGCTGTCCCATTAACGCACCGAGAGGCTGCTTCGGGGGTCTTGGGCTCGATATCCCTTGCTTGCTGGATATTTCTCCTGGTACGTTACTCTCGCGAGTTATTTTCCCACGGCATGCCCAAGCTTACATGTGAAGGTCCCCCAATTAATCGAGAACTACAAGAATGGCAGTGCCAAAGCCATATCTTTCGCCTTTATTCTCGTCTGGTTTATTGGAGATATTGCAAACTTGATAGGAGCTCTGTGGGCTAAGCTGGTCCCCGTGGTGGTAGCCATAGCCATATACTTCTGCATTGCGGACGGGGTTTTGATATGCCAGTGCATATACTACAACGAGAAAGTCTCACGGGAGATGGAGAGACGGATTTCGAGTCATACAGCGCATGAAGATGATGGAACACACGTTCCCCAGCCAACGACACCGCTATTAAGCCGACGGATGAGCGAGAATCTTGGGCAAAGCGGACGAAGGAGGCCTGATGGCAACTCACTCAACCATGACCCCTTGGCAAAGATGCTGGCAGAGGACGAGCCAAAGAGCACTTGGGCTAAGAATATACTGAGCCTATTGGGAATCTGCACTGCGGGTATTGCTGGCTGGGTGATCGCATGGAAGACGGGTGCATGGCAACCGACTCCTACCCAACCCATCAAAGGGCCAGCTGAGATGGCTGTGGGAGCGCAGGTCGCTGGGTATCTCAGTGCATTGTGCTATCTAGGGTGAGATCGCAGTCCTCCGTACTGCGTATATACTATTTGCGTTAACTAAGCCTCCGATAGTGCTCGAATTCCACAGATTGTCAAGAATTACAAAGAGAAGTCGTGTGAAGGTGAGCATCCATCGATATTGAACCCGCAAAATATGAATTGAATTTGAACTGATAGTCGGGGGTAGGGCTTGCCCTTTTATTCTTCGTGTTTTCTTTACTTGGCAACGCTACGTATGGAGCAGGGGTAAGCCGTCCTTCATGCATTTAGTTTTACTCGCCCTACTACTCGATTCTGACAGTCACACTAGATACTATTCCATTCTACGGAAAGAGAATACATTTTGACCAACCTGCCGTGGCTCCTGGGGTCGCTAGGTACCATTGCCGAAGATATTATTATTTTTGCGCAGTTCCGAGTATACGCAACTCAGGAGCCTGGGTCTTTGGCAGTCGCCTAGCGAGCGGTGTATATATTATTACTTTCCCTTCTTCCTGCTACTCTTACAGCATTCCCCAGGATCAAGAGATGTGCCTCAAATGACATGAAAAAGATTATCCAAGGCGATGGCGCACAATTCACATTTCTTTTTTGAGATTAACCTGGCAGCTCGGAAATATGTTTTTTTCATCACGACATGACATGGTAAAAAAAAGGATGAAAGGATAATATCTTTCATTCAGAAGGTATTTGCGCCACCCAATGACAGGTTTCTATTAAAAGATTCCGACCCGGCAGTGGGTAGCATGACCGTTTTTGCAAGCGCCTCGAGTTGTGCATCCATCTTTTATGAATATGGGTACAAGGGAAAAAAAGATTCGTAAGAAGGCGTTTAATCGAAAAGACCGAAGCCCATGTCCTCGTCGGACTCTTCAGCCTCTGTAAATCGGAGAAAACAGCACGTTAGTCGAATGTAGTTCATAAAGATGCTGGAGACTCTCGTTTGAGCCAAAGAAATATATGGGAATTTTCACGTACCCTCGGCCTTTTCTTCCTCAGCTGGAGCAGCCTCAGCAGCGGCAGCACCACCAGCAGCAGGAGCACCACCGGCGGCAGGGGCACCACCACCAGAGCCAACGTTGACTAGGATGTCCTTCAAGTTCTTGCCATCGAGAGCCTTAAGTCCAACACAAAAGAGGTTCCAATTAGCACAAATTCACCTGAGCAGACTTCTGCGTAAGCCCTGATATCTGCAGAAAGTAGGATATACCTTGGCGAAAAGGGAGGTCCAGATGGGCTCAACATCGGTCACACCAGCGGCCTTGATGAGGGTTTGGAGCTTGTCGGACTAGAGAGAAAGCAGACAGTCAGTTCTGATTCTGATTTATTCCCACCCGGCCAGAATTATCAATTTGACATGCGGATGCGCGCGTAATCAGGTATTGACGGAACCAAAGCTGGGATGGCAGATATCTAGGGACTGCGCTCACAGTGATCTCGATCTCCTCATCGGCGAGGATGAGGGCGGCGTAGGAGACGGCAAGCTCGGCGGAAGACATTGTGCAGAGGCGTGTGCGAATCTGTCTCTGGGGTGTGAGATGAGAGAAGGACGGACGTTGCAGGTTGAAAGGTCGTTCGTGTGCAAGCGAGAACTTGGAACTTCGTCTTTCGATCGCCAAACGCCTTTTTTTGTGTGCAAAAAGCTAGCTCGCTTACCCAGTCACGGGACCACAATAAATCCCATCGGTGAAAGGGGCTTCCAGAATTTGGCCCGTGCGTCTCGAGAAAGGGAACCCTCACGTGATAAGTCCCGCGCCCCGGCGGAGGAAGCGATGCAAACAAGACAAACAAGACAAACAAGGACGTCCCAGGGGTGCAAACATGCCCGTCGCGGCCCCGCCAGGAAAGAAGAAAAGAAAAAGGCGAGCGACGGCCATTTGCTGATGCCTCTGTTGCATATCACAGCTTCTACGGAGTACATGACACCGAGACGGGCCACGGAAGAGCAGCCCATCGAGCAGCCGCCAGAGGAGCTAGAGGACCACCGAGTGAAGTCGAAGGACAGCTCTGAACGTCAACGCACGCAACAAGCAGCAGACAGAACATGGCAGATTCCCCCGCCGTCTTTGCCCCGGTTGACCCGGCAGAGCAGCCGATACTCGAGCGCCTCATAACTATACGGGACGGCTTGGTGCTGATCAAGCAGGACAAATCTACATACGTCAAGTCCCATGATGTTATTCCTTTCTACGATCAGGCCATCGAGCAGGTGCAGATATTGAACCAACATCGTGCGGGTCGGAGAGTGGCTCAAAACAGAGGTAGGCAAAGGGCCTATGCGTTTTGGCAGGTTTTAACTTCATATTACACCATTAGTGAAGCGTCCCCGTTGTTTTCTACTTGGTTTCTAATGGATTTCTAGTTGACAATGTTTTGGACGATTGCTTTCAATTAATCTCACTGCTGTTTCTAACGGTTGGGAAGAACAACGAAGCACCAGCTGTGTACGTGTACAAGCTTCCGGGTGATTCCCAACGTACTAATTCGCTAACTGTTGTTCCTTCTACTAGATATTCCATGGTCTCTACTATCAAGGTACCGCCTTGAACAGATGCTCCTATTTCGATGTTTCTTGCTAACCGTTTACCCAGCGATTACTGGACCACCTCAGAGAGGCCGCATTCTTCAGCCAGAAGGATCTCGACTCGATAAGCGGCAGTCTTGATGGAGTCGAAAGCAATATACGTCGTGGCAAAGATACATACTCGCCTCATCTGCTCACGCTCCTTGAGACTAGATTAGAGACGTGCCGCTCTCAATTGGCTGAATTACAACACGACCTCTCCTTGCTTTCTCCAGAGCTCACCCCAACGCACGAAATTCTAGTGTCTATATTAAGGTCTACTTCCGCAGCAAACACAAGGTCCAAGGTAAGCAGCTATAGTTTACTCCACTGCAATGCTGATGGTTTATGTGGTTAGATGCATGCTGACGTCATGACCTAGTTTTCTGCATCTGAGGTGCTCGGTTTTAAAGACCAGCTGAATGCAATCAAGTCTAAAATGGTTGATGGAAACTTTGTGGCTGCTGATGGATCCATTCCTGCTGGCCAAAGAATAGTGAAAGACTTACTAGAAAAGTGTTTCAAATGGTCCGATATCGTACTTGAGCGGTAAGAGCCCTCGCTATTTCCCCCTATTGCCGGCTATCCTATAGCTAATGCCATTTGAACAGACAAGGACAGGTCAACGAAGCTTTCTTAGATTACTATAATCAGCTTATCGATATCAGAAACCAGCTTGACAGGTTGTCTATGACTCATGCGTGGTCATTACGTGAATCAGACCTCTATATGTATCAGAGAAAACTCAACAAAATCGACGAATGCCGAGTGGATGGTAACTTTTTGGATGCATCGGGAAAGCCTGCTGATCTACATGCACAAAGAGTAAGTGCATTATCTTGCAGTATAATTTTAATTTTTTTTTTTTTTTTGTATAAAACCTCTATACTAACAAAGTTAACAAGACCCTTCTTTACCTAATTCGGCGAAGCTACGCCTTGATATATGGTCTTCTTGTTTCCTCTGAGCCAGTATCAGAAGCACTGCTGCCGATATATAATCAGCTACAAACACTGAGAAAGTGTCTAATAGAAGTCAAGGAATCAGGAGGAGTATCAAGTGCCAGAGAGCTTTACCCATATAGTATGAAGGTGAGTCATGCGCTGGGTGTCCCCATGCCTCGCTTCGCTATGAAGAAATTCGCTAACTTGTCGTAGCTCAACTCGATCGACAACATGCGAGTTGATGGCAAATTCTACATCGGTTCAGACCTCCCCGAGGGCCAAGGCGGTGTCAACGAGCTTCTTGCAGAATGCTATGACCTCTGCTACGATCTACGTGCAGATGCTGAAGACATAGCTTCCCCCCAGTCATGAATGGACATATTCTGCCCTCACAGAAACATATTTAGCCATAATGCAACCAGGACAACATTTGCTATCCCATTATAGGTGTTTGGTTACGGGTTTTTATGACCGTTTTTCTTGTTTTATTCCCGTGTACAATGATTACTTTTTTCACCGTCCCTTTTATACTTTTGAAAAGCAGTTGGAACATATTTTGCAGGGTTCCTCATGTTTCTCCGGAGTTCAGTTACTCCCAGACGTCCATAATCTATACAGTGGTCTTTGCCACCCCCATAGACACACAAGGGGTGATTCCGGTCATCTCGCTAGTTGGAATTCCGAAGAATCAGCAAATGATAATACTCAAGAGGCAAAAAGAAATAACTGCACCGTTCACTAAATGCCGATGTCGCGATTTAGACTTTTAGCCCCATTCAGCCAATGACGTGCGAGACAAAAAAATTGCCGGGCTCATATAACACTTTTTTTCTTCACCCTTGACAAGAAGAACACATTTAAGCTGTTAGATACACAGAGGGGGCCATTATGGCGATGCAGATTCTTCGTCGGGGCTGTGCCCATGGGGCTACGGTAAGTTTGTCGTTCAATTGCTTGCTTTCTCCTGTTGGGTGAAGCTATCTTCTAACCCTGCAAGCATAATTAGCTCACACGATCGCTCAGGCGCTCTGGGCTGCGGTTTCGTGGACTGGCAACAGTCACACCCTCATCCACGCCCTCACCTCGTTCTCCTCCGTATCCCAAGATTCTCAGCAAACTCAATGAAGTTAGGAGGGTACTAGGTGCATCGAGACCGTTAACCCTCGCCGAAAAGAACCTATATTCCCACCTTGACAATGTCGAGGAGTCATTGCTCACAGATACGCAGAATGGCACACAGGTTCGAGGACGAGCCAACTTGAAGCTTAAACCCGACAGAGTTGCTATGCAGGATGCTTCTGCTCAAATGGCCCTTCTCCAGTTTATGTCCTGTGGTCTTCCATCAACGGCAGTCCCAGCTAGCATCCATTGTGACCACATGATAGTTGGAGAGAAAGGAGCTGATGTCGATCTTCCAGCGTCCATCAAGGGAAATAAAGAGGTCTTTGACTTTCTTGAGTCTGCCGCAAAGAAGTATGGAATTGAATTCTGGCCTCCAGGTGCAGGGATAATTCATCAAACTGTCTTGGAGAACTACGCTGCACCGGGACTGCTGATGCTTGGTACTGACAGCCACACCCCCAACGGTGGTGGATTGGGTGCCATTGCCATTGGTGTAGGTGGTGCTGATGCAGTGGATGCCCTGGTGGATGCCCCTTGGGAGCTCAAGGCTCCTAAAATTTTAGGTGTCCGCCTCGAAGGTGCGCTCAGTGGCTGGGCATCTCCAAAGGACATCATCCTCCATTTGGCTGGTAAGCTTACTGTACGCGGTGGAACTGGATTCATCATCGAATACCACGGCCCAGGCGTGGAAACACTCAGCTGTACTGGCCTCGCTACCATTTGTAACATGGGGGCTGAAGTTGGTGCCACGACTTCACTGTTCCCATTCGCACCTAGTATGATACCATATCTACAAGCTACCAATCGGTCGGAAATAGCCAAGTCTGCTTCAGATATTGCATCTTCTGGTCCACAGAACTTGCTTCGAGCTGACCCGGGTGCCGAATATGACCAACTTATTACAATTGATCTTTCCACTCTCGAGCCTCATATTAATGGACCATTCACGCCAGACCTTTCCATTCCCCTGTCAGCCTTTGCAGACACGGTTCGTGAAAAGAAATGGCCTGAAACATTCGGTGCTGGTTTGATTGGAAGCTGCACTAACAGCTCCTACCAAGACATGACACGTTCTGAGGATCTCGTCAAGCAAGCTTCTGCAGCTGGCCTGCGACCAAAGGCGGACTTCTTCATTACCCCTGGAAGCGAGCAGATACGAGCTACTCTAGAGCGTGATCAGACACTATCCACCTTTTCATCTGCTGGAGGCACGGTCCTTGCAAATGCATGCGGACCGTGTATAGGGCAATGGAAACGAACTGACGGAGTGAAGAAGGGTGAATCGAATGCCATACTTACCTCCTATAATCGAAACTTCCGTGGCCGAAATGACGGTAACACTGCAACAATGAACTTTCTTGCTTCTCCCGAGATTGTCACAGCCATGTCGTATGCTGGATCAACCACTTTCAACCCAATGACCGACTCTCTTACAACCCCCAGTGGAGAATCATTTAAGTTCACCGCACCAGTTGGATCTGATCTTCCTTCTGCTGGATTTGCAGCCGGAAATCCAGACTTCCAACCGTCTGCTGCTGTCCCAGATCCATCTGCCAAGGTTGTAGTTTCGCCAACATCTGACCGTCTTGCTCTTCTTGAACCCTTTGATCCATTCCCGACCCACGACCTTTCCTCTCTTCGGGTTCTTTATAAAGTTAAAGGACAGTGTACTACTGATACCATATCTGCTGCCGGACCTTGGTTGAAGTATAAAGGCCATCTCCCAAATATCTCTGCCAATACTTTAATTGGAGCTATCAATGCTGCTACTGGCGAAACTAACGTCGCCTACGATGTCGACGGCAAGACATATTCTATTCCAGAGCTAGCTGATAAATGGAAGAACGAAGGCAGCCAGTGGCTCGTTGTTGCCGAGGAAAACTATGGTGAAGGAAGTGCGCGAGAGCACGCTGCCTTGCAGCCTAGGTATCTAGGTGGAAGAATAATCGTGGCAAAGTCGTTTGCTAGAATTCATGAAACCAACCTCAAGAAACAAGGCATTGTGCCGCTTACATTCAAAGACAAGGCTGATTACGATAAGATAGATGCTTGTGATGAGGTTGAGACGGTTGGCCTCTACGAGCTACTGAAGAATGACGGCCAGGGCGAAGTTACCCTGAAAGTCACTAAAAAGTCTAGCGGAGAAACAGTCATTATCCCTGTCAACCACACCTTAAGCAAAGACCAGTGTGGCTTCATTCTCGCTGGCAGTGCATTGAACCTTCTTGCTGCTAAATCTCGATAAAGTTTCCTTCCTTTGACATTCTGATACTGTGTTCATTTTGCGCTCAGTTATGTTTATATTTGGTTTCTTCTCAGAGCATATACCAGTTCGGGCCTTTTGGTGTTGTCCTATCAATAGAATGGTTTGTAGGTACTACAGTTGTTTGGATAAAATATCCCAATTTCTTCTTCAAATTCCACGTTCGGGGTACCGGTTTTAATAGATACAACAGAAATATCTTATCAAGGAAGATTGAACCATTACCTCGTCCATTTCTGTAACTTGGACCCTTACAGGTTCCCTGAGGCCATCATAAAGCCAATGGAACTTAAAAGCCGAAGCAGAATCGTTGGTGACGGCGTATGTATATACAACCAAGGCTACTGCGTGGAGCGAATAATAGCTCCAAAAGTTAGGCCTCAGCTTTCTCTTTGTATATTGGATGGGCAAATTGGTACGGCGGGTAGTGAAAGATGGTGAAAATTCTAATGGGAGGTGATTTGGAAGAGTAGCGACGTTTACTCAATTCATTGAAATTCTTTATTTCTCCACCAAGCGTAAAAGGCCATATGTATCCGTAAGAGCAAAGTAAAAAAAGACCATATGATGCCATCCATGACTTACTGATGAAGGTAAAGATAAGGGGACATGGGATATGGTAACTAGTCGAGGGATGGAAAGGGGAAAGGGGGACACTCTGCTTTCTATCTAAGATTATGAAACCGAGTGTACAATGACAAGCATTTTAGAGGGTTTTAAGATCGAGAATATTCAGGGTGATGGCTGTAGGAGGGATGAACGGGGGTGGTAGTGCAAAATGGGGAATAACATAACGGGTAGTTAGTTAAAGAAAAAAATGAGACATCAATATTCGGGTGTTCATTGGAAGTGTCTGCGAACCGCCATTTGGTTCTCAGGTCGAACGATGTTAAGGATCTGGTCTGCGTTTATACCAGTTGCAGCAACCAATTGTTTAGCCGCTTCAACAACCTTGGTACACACATTGCCCTGGAGAGTCTCAGCCTCAAGTGCTTGGACAATAGAGGTGAATACTTTCTCGGCCTTTGAAAGAACAGATGGGTTCCGCCTAGCAAAAATCAGAGTTAGAAAAATATAAAGAGTGCCCGTACAGAGCGGGGAACTCACTGGTCAATAAGCTGTGCGAGGAAAGCATATGCATATGGCGCTGCTTCCTCATCATTCTCAATTGGAAGCGTATCAATCCAACTATCAACCACTTCCTGAGGGTTAGGAACCTTGCTGGAGTTAAAGTGCAGTATCTTAGCTATACTGGCGGAACCGTTCTCGGTAGCAAACACATGTTCTTCCGACCTAGCATCCGCGAAACGGGTTACGGCAAATAGCATGGGAATACTGCCGGCAGCAAACTCGCTCCAGGCTTCTCCACCTTTCTGAGCAGCAACTCCGACGCCATAAGCAGCAGCCTGACGGTTTGATGGGTTTTCATCTTGCATGCCGTCAATTAATGGCTTGAGGATATGGTCCTTGTAGTTCCAGGATTGATCGCCACAGAATTCAAGGACATCATCCAGGATACAAAGAACCCACTGCCGCTGCGTGGGGTCATCGCTGGTAACAAAGGAGTTGTAAAATGGTAGCAATTGCTCCCATGCGGGGAGGAAGGCAGGGCCATGATTCTTGAAGATGGTGTGGAAAGCCTTATTCATATCGCTTAAAAGGTTCTGATCCTCTTCCATCTCGTAATCAAAGGAGAAAGTGTCGTCTTCACCATCATCAAGTTCCGCCTTATCTTCGAGGCGTTTCTGTACTCGTTTCTGGTAATCCTCAAGGGCACTCTTGGAAGATTCGATGAACGCTTGCATGTGCTGTGGGGAGAGACAATTCTTTCCAGCAACCTCCACGGATTCGTAGAAACACTGGAACATTTCTGCGAGTGTATCAATCGAGGGCTCTGCGGTGAGAATTTCAATGATCTTTAACAGGGCAGAAGACCACATTTGCTGGAATTCTACCGACTGTTCATTGTGGGACTTCTTATAAGCGTTCAAAAGACGTGGAATAAGCTTGGCAGAAGAGACTCGGACAGGGTCGTGGAAGAAGAAAGCCAAGCCGGGTATGGCAATTTCTTCCAATGTCTTAACAACATAGGGCTCAAATGCACCTTCGAGGACTTGGGCGTAGATAGTGATTAACTCAATGGCAGTATTCTTGTCTTCAAGGGTGCTGGTTCGGATACCAATGATCTTGTCCTTGAATGGGAGCAGTTCCCAGTTGTGATCTTGCTCAACATCTCGTAGAGTCTCGTCATTCTCCAAAATCTGAACATCTGCACTGGAGGCAGCAACTTGAAGCAAAGGTGGCATGACTGCAGGGAGATAGGGAACAAAGGCAGGTCCTAATACACGGCACATACGACCCCAGCAGTGAAGAAGGTAAGATGATTGTGGGTCATCAGGCTCGGTGATATTTTCTACACATATGCGCAGTTAGAGGATAGGTATTTGATATTCTGGCTGAATAGGTACTTACGTTGTATGTGGCCAAGCAATTGAACTAAGTTAATAGCATCTGCACCCATCTTCTCTCTACCAACAGCCAAAGCTATAATACGTTAATCCCATGAGAGAACATTCTATTAGAAAGAGTATCACAATACATACCAATAAGAGTTGCACACTCCATAGCCTTGGCGCGAACAACAAGGTATTCCTTTGATTGTTCTTCTTTGAGAACATTGAATAAAAGGGGCATCAAAGTATCGTAAAACTGTCCGAAGGCAGCTTCTGCGGAGTCCGCGATTGTGGCAATGGTGGAGAGAGCTTGTTCTTGAACATATCGCTTGGGATTTCGGAGGAGCTGGAGGAGATTCTGCAAGAGGTCTGGAAGATATGGCTCAAGGATAGCGCGTTCTGCCTCTTCGCAGAAGTTAACCAATGCAGCCGCAGCATGGGCTTGGACACGGGGGTGTTCAGAGGTGAGAACAGGAATAATATTTCCAAGAACGATGGAGTGGTATTTTTCTTGCATAGTGCCAGCAAAATCAGTGCTCATCTGGCCCAAGGCATTGCACCCTGCAAAACGTACTCTGGGGTGAGGATCTCGGAGGGAAGGGATCACCAGGGCGAGAACTTGATTGAGTTCCCCAATCATCAGATCACGACACCCTTCTGAAATGGCGGAAATAGCCATAAGAGCAGCGTGTCGATCGCGCCATGATGCTGAGTTCATCATTTTCGGGACCCAATTGAAGGTGGTAGGAAGGATGATTTGCCCTCCCAGCTTGTTGGCGAGGCGGTCCATGCATTGTTCGCCGGCAACATGGTTCTTATCACTTTCCTCCAAATCAAGCTAGAATTTGATCGTTAGGATGCAGATCAACGTAGAACTGGAGAAATCGGTACTTACATCTTCAGATGCACTCCACTCAGCGGCATCGTCATCATCCTGACCAACATCGGTCATCAGACTTAGACATTGAGTGACCATTTCCTGGGCATATGTAGGATCCTTCTTGCACATGGTGGGTGCATAGTCGGCAAAGGTAGCCATGAGTTCGAGAGCGTTTTGCCTGACTTGTTCAGAGAGTTCTGCATCCCCAATGACTGTGACGCTAAACTTCACAAGCTTGTTGAAAAGACCCTTGAACATCTTAGGGTTGACTTCTGCGAGTTCCATCAAGGCAACAAAGGCCTTGGATAGCTCCTCGCCCTGGTCACCCTCTTTCAGTGGTGGGAGGATGTTGAGTAATTCTGGAACAACGCCGAAGAACTTGGCCTGAGTCTTTTTGCTGATTGAGCGGAAGAATGAAGCAAACGCTTCCATGGCGGAGATACGGACCTATAACATGTTAGACGGGTAGCCCGTAGCACATGGAACTATTTTACTAACAGAGACGTGATCATCCTGGAATCCCTTCAAGAAGACCCCCTGTACCATATCCTCATGCTGCTTTTCTATAATTGTGGGAGTGGCGGCAAATATACGGAATGCGGCCTCGCGGAGGCCACTAACAGGAGATTGACTGGCCTGGAACAGCACTGATAGGAGTTCTGGCCATGGTTCCTCTATGACAATATTAGTACCGGGTATAGTACTTTAGTAGGAACGCAGCACGACGAGCCTACCTTGATCCGAGTACTGAGATGCGATTTCTGCGACTGCGTCTCCGATCTTGTTTCGAACAGGGGCAAAGGTCTCGTTACTTAGAGCCTCGAGCAGCTTCTGTCGAATGGCTACTCTCTGGTCTGGAAGTAAGCTGAAAAACAGTTCTCTGGGATCACCTGTTGAAGGATTCTTTATCGACTTTGCTGCCATACGTCGGAAAATCACAGCTGCTAAAGAGCGGCCCTGTAGATTAGAAACAATCAGCACCTCGCTTTCCGGAATTGCAGTCTCCCTCATCTAAGCCAATAAAGGGACAAGAGGCCGCTACAGCAGCTGGTTTCTTGTACACTGTCGACTCACATTTGTGTCCTCGGAGCCCTGGATCTGCTCTGCCAGGCCCATCAACAAGACATCTGGACGGTTCTGAACCCAGTCGTTATTCAACTGCCCTTCAGCCTGGGCTCGAACACCATTATCGGCAGACGAGAGGCCAAGTAACAGCTGCGACAGCGCTGTATGAACTTCCTGCGGTAGGACCGACATTTTTGCTTCTCTATATCACCACCGCCGGGTAAAGTACTTTGGGGCAGCCGACGGTCTCTCGCACCGGTCGCCAGGCAACCAGGTAGCTTCTTCGCTCCCTTAACTAGTTCCAGCAGCAAGCAGATGATAATTGTGTGGACGGAGGCAGATCGCTGTTCCTGGTATTTGACTGGAGAAGAGCTCCCTGTGGTGTGTCGCGGTTGTTGGTGGTGGGCGTCTAAAAAGTAGGAGGGGTGGTTTGTTCCTTTGTTTTTCCTCTTCCCTGGCGTTAGCTAAACAAACTAAAGCCACACTGACCGAAGCCCTGGATCACAAACAACAGTTCAGCGGCAGTGCATCAGCAGAGCGGCAGACAAACCGAGCGCGCCCTGTTTCGAGCCGAAAGGCGTGAAGTAGTGAAGCCTCGAGGTGCTGAGATGTGTAGTAGAAAAAAAGGTGGGATGCTGGAAAGTGGTGGGAGGTTTTTTTTTTTTTTTTTTTTGTGTTATTTCGAACTAGTCCCAAATAGTCGGTTTGCGCCGTTTGCTTTGCAGATGGACAAACTGATGTCTGATATTTGGCTATTTGGCAGGTGAGAGGACAGGATAGACGGTGATGATGATGATGATGGTGATGATGATGATGGCTGGGGCCGTTGGTGGCGATCAATTAAGGAGAATCTATTTTCATCTAGCTAGGAGTTCGTGGAATTACAAGGAAGGATATCTCAAGTATTGTGCGTGCTAAAAACAAAAAAAAAAAAAAAAAGAGCTAAGAAAAGGGGAAAGGGAGAGAAACCAGGACTATAATATAATACTGACAAGAGAAAGGTCAAGGAAACAACAGAGGAGAACAGGGTGGTTGATATACTGGTTGAGAATCCAATGGGTCTTCGAAAGGGTTGGCTAGGGGGAAATGGTTGTAGAAAGGCAAGGAAATGGTCGATGTTATCCTTTGCAGGGTTCTATCGTCTACCTCCGCGGCTCAGCACAAAGACACCGACAATAACAGCAGCCAGAGTAACGATAGCTCCAGGTAGAATAAGTTCGTTAGGAATGCCGTTGATGAGCTGCTGGTCCGTTGAGGGCTGGACAAGTGATTGGGCCACAGACTTGGGGCTGCTGGTCGACTCCTCTCTATGCGCGGTTTCCTCCTCAGCAGCAACGGTTACGGATTCCGGAGGGGAGGCAGCTTTGGCTGCTGCCGCCGGCTCAGGTTCCTTGGCAACAATCGGAGTAGAATCCGGGCTGTGGACGAAGAGGTCAACCTTGTCTTGGCTGGCCTTCCGGGCAATGGAAATGGCGTCGACAAGGTCTTGGTCAGCAGTGATGGAGACAGTGTCACCTTCACTGTCCAAGTAGCTCATGGCGAATCCGGTGTTGCTGAGTTTTCCATCTTCGACAACGGCTTGGCCGCCGATGGTGTCAACCTCCGCTCCGAGTTTGGCGGACACGTTCTGGACAAGCTCGGCAATACCAGCGGACGGGTCAACGTGTAGACGATGAACACGACCGCTGGGAGCCTTGAACTTGAAGGGGAATGAAGGGTCAAGCTTCTCTTCTGCTGATGGGCGTTCCTGTACCTCTGAGACAGGCGCCTCTTCACCTCCGTGGTGAGAGGCAGAGTCGTTTGGCAAAACACTGTCACCGGTATGGCCTCGATGGTCTGGGCTTAGCAGAGATCGGTGATGGGGTTGGCTGCCAGACACCATCGAGTCAGACTCGTTGTCCATGGACAGCCAGAACTTGTTCCAGGCTGGACCCTCGCTTTCATTGGTTTGGATAGTGTTGATCTAAGAATAAGGTTAGATCTGAGTCAGGAGTACAAGACACCCAAAATGTGACTAACCTGTTCCAGCGTAGCATAGGTCAATTTAAGAACGTCAACCATTCCCACGATTTCTCCAGACTCATTCATAACGGGAAGGTTGAGATAATGTCCATCTAAACCAATGCATTAGTTCCCCTGTATGCAATTTGGCTGAGAAAAGATGAAAAAGGAAAATAAATATACGAACCATGCATCTTTCGAAGAGCAGCTTGGATAGTCATGTCAGTAGGTGCAAAGTCTGGGTGGGGAGTCATGACTCGGACAACACTGCAGGTAGATGGGTCGAGACCAGGAGCAATAACTCGCAAGACAACGTCCTTGCTAGTAAAGATACCAGTGATAGACCCTTGGTCCTGGACCAAGAGAGCGGTTGTATGGTTCTCCTTCATCAACGTAGCAGCCTCCTTGACAGATGTGCGCACGGACACCGTGGTAGGGGGCAAACCGTTAAGCACGGACTCTAGAGTAGGTCCAGACATCTTCGATCTCAAAGCCTCCACGTACTGAATAATTTGCTGGGGCTGTGAAGATCCTAGCTCAGATTGCACACCTTCAAGAGCATCATATAGCTTGCGGGAGGAGCTATATGCACGTTCCAACTTCTCCATTGCATCGTAGAAACACTTGGTGATATCTAGAATGCCGGAGATATCTTGGTTTTCGTCCATGACAGGAAGATGTCGGAAACCCTTTCGAACCATAAGATCAAGAGCATCAGTGGCACTGGTATCAGTACGAGCACATAGCGGGTTCTTTGTCATGATTTCGGCAATTGTCACATCTCTGGCGCGGATACCAGCACCTACGACCCTGTAGGCCAAATCCTTTGCGGTGAAGATACCGGCAATACGGTCATCATCGTCTGTCACGAGAACGCAATCTTCCCTCTTCGCTGCCATCAATTGCGCAGCTTCGGAAACAGTGGTATTTGGTTTGATCTGTAGAGCTTGACTGGGTTTGAGGGCAAGAACTGTGCCGGGCGGGGCCTTTCGAGTGTGTCGGGCCTTGGAAGGGTTGAACTTCTTCTTACTGAGGTCCGCTTCCATCTTCCTCCTGATGGCCTGGATAGATTCCATTTAGTAACAGTCCATATAATGGCATTTTGACATATCACCGTCCTCCACCGCTCCCCTCCACCAATGACAGAATAAATAGAGACAAAAAAAAGGGAGACGGGAGACGAATGTAGTATACCTCATCTCGTTTGGATTGCTTCTGCCTGCTCGTGCTTAAGGTAGAGCTTCCTCCAATATCAGATGCAACGCTCGGAGGAATTGGGTGTTCGACCTTGCGAGGGATGCCGGACGAAGCGTTAGAGTCAAAGGGGAGCTGGCCCCGACCCATGGTCCGGCTACGGATGGTACCGCCAGTCGCCGACATCTTGTTACAAAGTAAAATAGGAGAACTAGCTCGGGGAACGGGGAGAGAGGCAAAAGATGGATGGCAATCGACGTCGACCTGGTCCCTCGCTGCAGCGGCACCGACGGTGTTTTCCTGTCGTCGTCGTCGTCGTCGTCGTCGTCTTCGTCTTCGTCTTCGGCTTGGACAGCGAGAAAAAGGACGAAGATCAGGCGGGTTTTTTTTTCCTTCCCTTCTCAAAAGGGTAAAAAGCACGGGACGTGTCACCTGATTGTCACATGATTTTCGAATTACTCATCACTTAGTCATCATATGACATAATACCTATAACTATAGTCATGTGACTCGCTTAGCCCTAGCCCACAAGAAGGAAAAACGTCGAAAGTTTAGCCCGCGAAGAAAGTCGCAGCTGAAGTCGAAGAAGACAGCGAGATCTCTCCCAGTCGACAACGACCGCAACCATCAGCAACCCCAGCCTCGATCCCCCTCTCGCTCCGGTTTACCTGTCTGTTCACCTGGCTTGCGCAGTCGCGGAAGCCACCCACACCGTCATTCAAAATGGTTAAGAAGCGGGCGTCCAAGTGCGTTGAGAAATACCCTCCCCGGCAATATCAGATTTCCAGATATCCTGGATAACAAATCTCAGGCTCTGGCGTGGAACTGGGCCGTGTGTTGTTTGCGCCAACGTGAAACTGACCTTTTCTTCTTCATCTCTATAGCGGACGTAACAAGAAGGGCCGTGGCCACGTCAAGCCAATTCGTTGCTCCAACTGCTCTAGATGTACCCCCAAGGACAAGGCCATCAAGAGATTCACCATCCGTAACATGGTTGAATCTGCCGCCGTCAGTACGTTTTACGCTCTACAAGGCTTCCCAGGATCTTTCTACCGCGCTACCAAAAGAGACCAACTTGGGAGCCGGTGGACACATCTTGCAATTGAGAGTGCTAATGTACCCGGATTGAATAATAGGCGATATCTCTGACGCTTCCGTTTTCACCAAATATGCCGTCCCTAAGATGTACCTGAAGCTCCAATACTGCGTCTCTTGCGCTATCCACGGAAAGATCGTCCGGTATGCATTTATCTCCCGCAGCCAAATGCAAATATTACACCATCCCCCTTAAATCAGCTAGGAGCAAGAACCCAATGGAAAGAAGGAATATAAAGCAACTGACGAACCGTTTTTTTAATAACCACAGTGTCCGATCCCGAGAAGGTCGCCGCAACCGTGCCCCACCACCAAGACTCAGATTCAACAAGGACGTCAAGAAGTTGAACCCCCAGCAGGCTGCTGCTAACGCCAAGTCCGCCCAAGCTGCTGCCGCTAAGGCATAGATAAAGGATGTCATTTCCTTTTCTTCCCTTTAATACCTTTTCGACGTCGGAGGAGCGATAAAGCGGGGAATTAGGAGGGAGGGCCTTTTTTCAGCAGCAGCTCTACCCTCCTCTTTTCATTTTACAAACAAACTCAGCACGTTCATGGCGGCGGGAATCCCCCAAAAGAAAAGCAACCCTTTTTTTTTAACGATGAGCTGCGGCGAATATGTGAAATATCCTGGCATGAAATGATTTTTGTTTTAATTATATTTTATCTTTTTTAAACATTGCCGGATGATGTTTGTTTGTACCCAACGCAAAAACTCCCCGCTGATGTTGATAAGATATTAAATATTGGTCAAATACAGATGAAACTGTTCTTGTCCAAACATCCATTGAAAACGGCGCTATTCAGTGAAACACTGGGCTCATCTTAAAGATTATTCCTCTGGATCCTTACTTCTCCCTTCCAATGGCCGTCAGCAGGTAATATTGTCGTATCTCCAGTGCTCCGGACTCTCTTCTCATATGCATCCCGTCTCTCTCGTCTGAATGCAGCCAATTCAACTACCACATCTACCATTCGTACCGGAGGCAAAGCCGCTGACGAACTCGAAGTAGAACGTGTCTCGTCTTCGTCAAAGAAACTGAAGTCATTCGCGGCAGCCGCCCATAGATTTTCAGAGTCTAGATCTCCAGTGCTTGATTTGAAAGTGTCTGGCTGGTAGTAGCCTGTAGGGACCCAAGCGGACGAAGATTCTGGTTTTTCAAATTTTTTACCTGGTGAGATCTCCAAGACGATAGCTCGGAGGGCAAAGAGTTCCTTTGCATGTTGCTGTACGGCTTTCGCATGGTACTGGCCTGGGGGGAGGGAGTAATTGGACTCAGCCTGCAGTGAAGCGAGGAGAGCCTCATCTGCACAGGCAGATATGAATTGAGTTATGGAGGAAATAACTGGAGAAGGTGAGGGAACAAATGCCGGGACATCTGTTAGAACTAGGGTTCGGATATGCGCAATGTTGGATGGATGGAGATATATGGATTGATCGGTGTTGGTCTTATAGATGGCAGGTCGCTTCTCTAGAAGCCTTTGGATCATTGATGACTCCTTTCCATCCGTGAGCACACCCTTGAGTAATTCCTTTTTAACATCACCCTGTCTTTTGAGGATAGAATGGTGTATTCTAAGATAAGTAAGGTTCCGGGCAATTGGGCTCTTCAGTTCTGGTATGAGCTTCTCCATTCCGGGGCTGAGAGCTCCAGCATCCAGCACATTCAACCTCTTTGTATGCAAAATGTCTATCAGACCACTCACGGATATTTTATTACCAGAAACATACAGATGAGTAAGGCCAACGTGAGGTAGTTCTTCCAGTGCTGAAAGACCGCTCAGTCTCCTTGTAAAGAGGTCTAGTAGCTGATCACCTAGTTGTTCACTCTGGGTAGAATCAGCAAGTAGAGCTCCAGTCAATGGACCAAAATGTAGGTTTTCACGAATACTGGCTCCATCACCGTCATTCAGCAGGAAACAATGGTTGACCAACATGTTCAGCCCTCTATCAGTGAGACGGTTGTCTCGGATATCAAGCAGCCTGACACGAGTCTGAATTGCCTTTGCTAGGACTTCTATGTCGTCATCCTGCAAGCCTATACCTCGTAGTTTCAGGACCTGTAGCCCTCTCAGCTGGCGCAAGGCGAGGATAGTCCTCGGGTCTCTTGCAGTGGTAGTATGTGACAGATCAAGATATGTCAGGCGCAAGCAGCAGTTCAGCAATGCTACTAGTCCGGCCGGTGTCGCATTCGCCTCACGCTCGGCCAGCAGGAGGCGTGCATTATACTGCTTTCCCTTGCCCAGCGCAACAAGAGACCTGTGATCGAAGAAGGGGAGCCTCGAAAGGAGTAGAGACTGCAGGTTGGGGAGATATTCCAGGAACTCATGCAACCATGTCGGCGGTGGTTCACCATATATCTCTGCCAATGCCGGCGGGAGATGCAAGGTATGCGTGAGCTGCCGTACACAGGGCCGAGATATGTTCAGCACTCTCCTAAATCGCGTGAGGGCGACTTTTCATTTATTCAGTTTCAGTGAATATCAACGGTCTGTCTCTTGCGAGAGAGACGATGGATGGTATGGGTATGCCCACCGTAGACAGCGTCGTTTCTGGCCCCGAAATGCGAGGCCGGCGCACCCCATAAGATGGGAGCGAAGATGCAATGCCATGCTCGGGAGACGAGAGAGGCAGAGCATAGATCTGCTGCAGCGAGGACGAAGGGCGCAATTATCGGCCATGCATCTCGCGTAGTGGCGGATTCGTATGATGGCGGAAAGACGTCTGCCATGGTGAGTCCGGTGAGAGGCAGCGTTTCAGCTGTCACATCTCAGCTTGTCCTATGCTGAGTACGAATGTCACAGCTTTATTCTCGGCTGTTATATATTGATTATTGACCGCAGGATCGAGCATAAGCCGGTAATACAACTGTTTGTTGTTCACAACTGACTGGATGTTGGTTGCCTCCTGTTAGATCCTCCTAACTAACTAGCCCCCCTTAACGTATCACTCACACCGAAAGAACGATCGGATAGCCGTCCAGGTGAATGGGCAAGCAGATGTCTATGCGAGTGCGTCGAGAGTGATATCAAGCTACTTCTCTACTGGCCGAATTTGTTATCACAGTGCGAATCCGGGTTGTCGCCGGGTAACTAATTAACGAACAAACTGCCATCACCAGCCTAAGCTACATGCAACTGATCGTCCAATATAATGCATGCATGGATGTGGGAGGAGAGATGCTGTGCAGGGAGCATGGATGCATATACATATTTATATAATACGGCCATGATGCCCGAGGAAATACCCGAGAACTCTTCACATTCAACATGCCTGTCGATATATAGCCATACCCGCTGCCAGCCATGCATACCAACGGGACTTCAGACAGTGAACAAGCAAGCTCAGGCGGCCAGGAAAACGGCCAGAGTGAACGCTCCAAGTGTCGGGATATCTTTCTCTTCAGCGTCTCAAGGACTCTGTCAAACGTGTTTTGCCGTTTGCTCTCGGCTCAGCCGGGCTGGGTTCAATCAGACTACCATCTCGACAAGGGCTTCTTCCAGGCTCGAGATAAATTCGACTGGGCCCCTCTGGACAAGATAAGCGATGAGCTGCGCCAGGAGTACATAGAGTTAACCAACAAGGGGGTGGAGATACTTCAGAAGGCGAGAGAAGATGCTATTAAGGAGGTACATAATCTATACCCCCAGTCAACAAAGTCAAAAGTCAGCGGACAGACGGGCCATTGATGCTAACGATCAGCAACAGGATAAACACCTCTTTGTGAAGAATCATTCTTTTTTCGTGGTTGAGCCATCAGCCTTGTTGGATGAAGCACAGCGAGGCGAAGAAGTCCCCTCTCTGACTATCGTTCCTAGGCCTTTAGCAGCTGAAGCAGAGGGCAGCATATCAGCTACACCAGCACGAACGAAGACAAACACGACCTTCTTCCCTGACGAGTACCTTTTATTATGGCAGCCGGTGTTTATGATTCGCCATCCCGCGCTCGTCGTTGAATCATGGTACAGGACCGAAACAAGAGTCGTTCCCATCGACGTCAAAGACAGAGTCTGGTCGTATTTGACGTTCCGATATTCTCGCAGCCTATATGACTGGTACGTGGCTAGAGCTACGGAGTCCAATGGCACCAAGATAGCGGCAGACGGTAACAGTGCTTCCTCTCCCTGGCCTATTGTCGTCGATGCGGATGATGTTCTCAGTGGAGAGTGTCTGGCCAAGTTCTGCAGTGCCTGTGGTATGAGTGTGGAACATATCAAGTTTGAATGGGAGGAACTGCCTCTTGAAGCACAGGACGTTTCGAAAAGACATATGAGTTACATGCGTGATCTGTGGGCATCCACGGGCCTCGACCAGTCCAAGTCTTCAAAGGGATTGGATATGGAGGTTCGATATGGGAAGTGGAGAGAGGAGTTTGGGGATAGTGTTGCGGAGGGTTTGTATGAGCGTGTCCGGAGGCTGATGCCAGATTACGAGTATTTGAGGAGAAGAAAAATATAGCCAAGAGACATACAATATAGACGATGGGCAATACAAATGAATAGACGTGAAAAGTCATGAATAGTATCCCCAGCTAACCTATGAAGTATTTTAAATACCAATGCCCAAGTAACCCAGTGAGATGAATAGCCCGCAAGAAAACAACATGATAAAAAGCAAATTGATCAATATAAAGGGGGAGGGGGTCGTCAAGAAAAGAGGAAATAGAAAGGAAAAAGAATACGCAGAACGACCCAGATTTCGTGCCCCCATCATGTTATTAACCCATAATTCCAAGCAGCATGAGAAAGAAAAGAGAAGCAGAAGGAGAAGAAGAGACGAAGCAAGGCAAAAGACAGCCGTAAAGTAAACCTATAACGCTGAGCTACCCATGCTAACGGAGAAGGCGGAAACGGAACGGACGGGGTTGATTCATTCAAAGGATTAATTGGAGTAGGTATGTCCAAGGCGGTTATCGGGGTTCCTGGTATTTTCATATATTTTCTTGTTGTCGGAATAGTCATGGCAAACGTGTTTTCACGGTTTGAGAAGAGGTGGTAGTGGGCGTCTTACATGACATACAGAAGATTGGTATCTAAGGGAACCAGCCAGTGTTAGGTCGAGGGAGGGTTAAAAAAGAGAAGAAAAAAAGGGAGCAAATAAGCAAGCAACGCAACAGCAAGACGGAGAAGAAAAGGGGGAGAGGGAGGGGACAGAACAACTTGAAGAGTGGGTGAGTCTACTGACCAAGGGGGTGGCTGCAGCTCAACTGCGGTTTCTGAGAGTACTTGGAAGCGAGCTCATCGCGAATGCTGTTGAGCAGCTGGACGTAGCTCTGCTGGGGGTTCTTTTTGAGGGCGGTGATAAAGGCCCAGGACATGGCGCCTGTGGCCTGACCGCCGATGGTAGCGTCTGCGCTGGTCTGCACGTCCTTGCTGCCTGACCACATGATGACGTCTGCGGGACTGGTACGGGTCTGACGGGCCTTCTTGAAGCTCTCGTCGCCGCGGGTGGCCTTCTTGAAGAGGTCGACGGCGCCGCTCATCATGCCGCCCATATCGCCGCGAGCATAGGCAGATACAACGCCCAGCAAGCCCTGACCGGCTTCCTTGGCGAGATTGGGCTCCTTGAGCACTCCTTGCGTCGAGTAGATGAATGGAAGGTCGAGGGCGGAGCCAGAGTGGCAGGAGTCGAAGATGGCGGTCAAACGAACGCCAGGAACGAGAGGCTGTACCATGATGCGGTGCATCTCGTCGTCGACGATGTGGCCGGCGGATCTGAAGTCTACGGGGTAAATGACCTCGTCGTTGCCGTCCTCTTCATCTCCGTCCAAGTCTGCCGTCTGACCACCATGGCCTGCATACATATATGGTCAGTAAAACACAGTTGTTAAGTATATTGGGGGGTTAGGTAGGCAGATGTACCTGAATAGTGGAAGAAGAGGGAGTCATTAGCTCTGGCGTCCTTGACAAGCCAATGCATGGCACGCAGGATATTGGCCTTTGTGGGCTGGCTCATGGGGTTCTGCTGGTCGTCTGTGAGGATGACCATGTCCTGTCTAGCGTAGCCGTAGCTCTGGTTCAGGTAGTTGGACATGTTCTTGACGTCGTTGATGCATCCTCGCAGCTGTCCGCGCTGGTTGAAGTAGTTGATTCCGATCAGCAGGGCCTTGCGCTTGCCGGTGCAGTTGGAGTACTGGAAGTTGTATCCCTGGGGGGCTCCATGGCCGAAGGAGACGGGGTTGTTGGGCGGCGGCGGGGGACCCTGGCCATACGTATTCTGGTAGTCTAGCAATCGTCGTTAGCCGTTTGCAACCAAACCAGGGAGAAAGAGAGAGGGAAACAGAGAAGCCTTACTGGGACGTCCGTTCTGCATCTGCCCGCTGTTGGGAGGCGGTCCATGGCCGTAGCCGTGATGCTGTTGCTGCTGCTGCCCGTGGTCCTGCAGAGAATCCGACCGTCAGCGAAACCACCTCCTTCACCCTGTTGATTCCCTTGATCCCGAGGGCTCCTTTCAGACCCTCCGTTCCTCGCACTGTCGGCACTGCATGAGACCTACTTGGTATCTGTACTGCGGCTGGGGGGACGGCGGTGCCTGGCCGTAGCCGCCTGGCGGGGGAGCATGAGGCTGCGGCGAGTGCGAGGGTTGCCCGTACGGCGGCTGCTGGTACGGCTGCTGTCCGTAGCCGTGTTGCCTGTTCTCGTCAGCGTCCCGCTTCTCTCGCTGTCTGCCTATCTCTGTCTGCCTGTCTGAATGGGTATGCTCACTGGTACTGCTGTGGTGGTGGTGCCCCGTATCCTCCCTGGTTGTAGCCGTGCTGCTGCGGCGGTGGCTGGTCGTAGCCCTGCTGGGGGCCGCCCGGGTACGCTCCTGGATAGTAGGACATGCTCGACGGCGAAGATGAGGGCGAAGAAGGCGAAGACGATGCTGGTGGGCTTTCTGGCGAGAGAGAAGAGTCGCGAGCTGCTGCTGCAGAGAAGAGGGCTGGGGGGGGAAGAGTGCGAGACGCCGGTGGAGGGGCGCAGCAAGGGGTCGTCCGACTAACTAGCGAGCTAAAGCGGGCGCGAGTGACGATTTAAATCCAACGACTGGGGACTTCGGGCTCGCAGACGCTCCGGTGGACAGACAGCGAGGTCGCTACTGAGATGGAGAGACGGCGACGGCGACGGTGATGGTGCTCTCGCAGGCTCGCGAAGGACGAGATGAAGGGGGAAAAAGCAAAGAAGATGAAAATTTCTCCTGCGCTGCCGATTTTTACGAGGATCAGAAATCTACGAGACAGAATGGGGACCGCTCTACGGAGTACATGGGACAGGAGGCCGGACAGCTTGTTTTTTCGTCTTCGTCGTCTTCTTCTTCTTCTTCTTCTTCTTCTTCTTCTCAGCTTCTGTCTGGCGATTACTTATCATCGCATGGGGTGTTGCTCCCTGTCCTTCCGCTGCTTCTCCAGACACGCATATCAGCCACAGCCAGCGCCCTTGCTGGCCGGAGGATGGACTGATTAGTGCATGGAAGAGGCTGTCCGTCCTGTCCGTCCTAAGTTGATGCAGAGCAACTCGAGTTGTGTCACGGAAGAGTTGTTGTGCGTTGACTTTTTGATAGATATTAAAATCCTATGCTGTCTTCTATTATTGGTAGCAAAGAAAAGTCCAGGCGTTTTTTCTTCTTCTTCATCTGTGCCATGCGTACTCCGTAATGCAAGAATGCATGCAGCTCGTCATCTTCTGCTTCTCGTGCTTGTTGTTTCTTCTTTTTCTTCTTCTTATTTTTTTTATTATTTTTTTTTAACTTCATCGACGGGGCATTCCGCGGCCGCGGCCTCCTCGTAGCACTCGCTGGGCGGCGCCTTGCGGTAGGGCCTGGGGAGGCCCCTGTGGCTGGGCTGACTCTTCGTTTTCTATCAGACGTCAGTAGAGTAAGACATAGCATATAGATGTAGACAGGGGGGAAGAAAGAGGAGGAGGGGGGGGGGAGGGGAAAGACGTACTGATGGTTTCGTCGACAGAGAGAATGAGACAGGCAGCCTCGACGGCCGACTGGATGGCATTGACCTTGACCAGACTCGGCTCCCAGACAAAGGCCTTCATGTTGTCTCGCACGCCCTCGCGGTCAAAGTCGACGCCGGCCCAGACGTTGCCCTTCTTGTGCTCGACTCTCAGTTGGTTGAGAATGTCCGTGGCATCGAAGCCGGCGTTGTCGCACAGCTGTCGGGGGATCACCTCCAGGGCCTTTGCAAACGCCTTGACGACGGCCTGCTGCTTGTGCGGGACGTTCACGTCGGCATACCGGTGGATGTAGCCGGACAGGTCCATCTCGGTTGCACCGCCGCCGGCCACGACGTTGGTGTTCCGTAGCGCCCGCTTGACGATCATGATGGCGTCGTGCAGACTGCGTTCGGCTTCGGCAATGAACTGCTCTGCTCCACCGCGCAGGATCAGAGTGCATGTTTTGGCTCCAGGGCACTCGGAGAAGATGTTGAAGCGCTCGCCACCGATCTGGCGCTCCTCGAAACTACCACACTCGCCCAGGTGGTGCTCCTGGATGTCGCTGCAGGTAGACTGTGTCGAGGCACCGGTGGCCTTGTTCACTCGCTCCATGTCGTCGGATGACACTCGCCCGGCACAGAATATGTCTCTGTCCGCAAAGTATCTAACTTCGTTAATACCGGGGCCGTTCATCAGGACAGAGAGAGGGTTAGGGTTAAAAAAAGTAAATGAAAAAAAGACATACTGTGTTGCAAGGTCACCGATAGGGAGCTTGCTAAGGACAACCTTGGCTCCGGTCTTGTAGAGAGCCTCGAGCTTGTTGAAGATGATCTGCCACTCCGCGTCGACGATGGCCTGGTACTCCGATACCTGTTCGACCCTGACCTCTGCATTGTCCTTCTCGCTCTTCAGCTCCAGCTCAACATTCAAGCAAACAATCTTTGGGTTCTTGAACGACTTGGGCTGCTGCTCAAACCCAGCATAAGAGAACGTCTTCTTGAACGCAACGCCGTTGATGAACTGCGAGTCCTGCAGCGCTCCTCCGGTAATCTTCTTGACCCCAATCAGCTTCTCGTTCAGGTCGTCCTGGTCCAGCGACAGGACGGCATCCACAACCACTGCATCACATCAGTTAGCTCAGTCACTGCCTGCATGGTTTTTTTTTTTCCATCGTCATGTCCAAAAGTAAAAGATAACGCACTCTTTGTGAAAAAGTCCGAATTCCGCTTGATCAGCTTGCTGTTCATCGCTGTGCCCGCCAGTCGCCGCAAAGTCTCAATCTTCTTCGCCTCTCCGCCAGCAGCGTCCTTCATATCAATTGCAATCTCCTTGATCCGGTTGATGCACATGGCACTCGCCTTCCTCAATCCCTTTATAATCGTCTGAGCACTTACATCCTGCTCCACTAGGTCACGCACTTCTCGTAGGATTTCACCTGCTAGCACAACCACGGAGGTCGTCCCATCGCCTACTTCTGCGTCCTGGGATCGTGCAATGTCGGTCAGGATGCGGGCTGCGGGGTGGACAATATCGAGCAGCTGTTACGGTCAGCAGTCAGCACGAAGCCCTTGTAGACGTCTCATTCCTAAACAACTAGAGCATCTCCTTACCTTCATTACCGTTGCTCCATCGTTTGTGATTGTCTGCTTGCCGTTGGTGTCTACCAGTAATAGGTCCCCGCCATAGGGGCCTAGCGTGCTCTTGATAGTGTTCTGTACCGCAACACAGGCGTTGATATTCGAGAGAATCTGTCCCTTGCCCTGCGAGGCATCCGTTCCTGCATATCAAACACCCATCGTAAGCTTAGAACAGTCACATTCGTGCTGGAGCAAACGTGTGATAGTAGAGGGGGGGGCAGAGGCGTAGAAAAACTTACCCTCCTTCAAAACGATGATTGTGGGTGTTTGGCCCGCGAACGCCATTGCAGCGGTTCAAATTCAAAACAAATAGAATAAGCAAGTACGTATTCCTCGGGATAGATAGCTTGGGGGAAATGTCTCTCCTTTCCCGCTGTCTCTCTCTGTTTAATTTGCAGAAGGTGGCCCGTAGTGGTGTTCAGCGGTTTAGTATTTTGATAGCTTTTCGCTGTGGCTCTTTTTTTTTGCTTTTTTCCCCCGTGCTGTGTCAGCAACTTCAGCCGCCAAACAATCTTTCCCCTTTTATCTTACAACATACAAATCTCGACAGCAATATTGAATAGGCTACGATGGAAGAAAAGGTATATATATTGGAAGATAGTCTATCCGTCTAAAGTGCTCGTAAAAGTCATCATAGATCCACAGCAGCTGTACATATATATCGTCCATCAGTGCTACGGGTTGATTTGCTTGCTCAGTTCTCAAAGTGATTCTGGTCGTCTCTTCCTCCAAAGGCAACGGTAAGCAGGTCTGCCTGAAACTGGGCATCGTTCTGTAGCCGCGTTGCCTCTGCGAGCCTCATGGATTGGTCTCGCATGCCCACGCCAACACCGACGTCAACATCAACGTCAACTCCTACTCCGGCACCGACGCCTACATCTACGCCTACGCCGGCGTGCGACGCCATCAGATCGTCGTCTTCAACCACCTGATAGCTGCCTGTGTGGTCATGATGGTGGTGTTCGTGGTGGTGGTGATCATGGTCATGATGCTGCATGGGGGAATGATCGAAGTCGTGGGTCAAGGCGTGATGAGGATCGTGTGCACCGTCCGTTTCATACGGACTCACTCCCACGCCAACATTGACGCCATTATGGTGCTGAAATGGAGGGAGATGGTGGTGTATGTCATCCATTATCTGAGGATCGAGCGGTATATCAGCGTAGTCCGCCATCCCCCCAGCGTGAATAAGAGGAGTAGTGTGAGAGTGGGTGTTGTGAGGATGTGGGTGGGGTGTAGGACTGAAGGTTTCCTCCTTGGAGTACTGGTGAACTGCTGCGGACACGCTTGTGAGTTGTTGGTCAGGCTGGGTGGGGGTAAAGGCGTTAGAAGGAGGTATATCAAAAGTGTTAGCCCTAGGAGTTGGCGATGGCTTCTCCCGTTTGAATGGCAAGGTATTGGTTTCAGAATTGCTGTTTGTATGAGAACTGAGTTGGATGCCGTTGGCACCGTTCATAGGTGCTTTGGGGCCTTCCTTGCATTGTGGGCAGTTCTTGATGGCCATGCTAACGGTCTCCTTGATCCGAACCCAATGATATTTTAACGCAATAGTAGCCGTTGTCTTGTTGATACCACCATGCTGCTGCTGGTGTATCCTACGAGCTATCTCATACTGCTGTTGCGGATCGGAGACAACCTCCTTATCCTTCAGCATCAGCTTCTCTGGCTCGCCCTTCTCGCCACCTACAAGCTTATAGTGGGTAGCTGCACTGCGTAGACGGCTCTTCTCAGCCCTATCTGCGCCGCTCGGGTACTTGGAATGTTTCAAGTAATATCTGATCTTGTCGAATCTTTCTTCAGAGACAAAGTCTTCTCCCTCTGGACCGAGATCCCGGCCGTATATTATTGCATCAATAAGCTGGCCTGGGTATGATCGTAGATTGCCACAGCCTGGTATTCTGCCTACTCGCTTGAAGCCCAACGCGTCCCATATTCGACAGGAGGCTACGTTGGTTTCGTAAACCAGATTGAACACGGCATATGTGTATCCCTAAGCAGACGAAAACAAAGTAACGAGAAGCAGATCAAAAGGTTAGCAACGTTATATCACCGTCAAAGCTTAAAATATATCTTGCTTGAAACATTGCTGAGCTCAATGCTCACCATCTGTGGTGCCCACTCCAGGTAGCATTCACCCATCAGCCGGCCTACACCGCGGTTTCTTGAGGCATCCGTCACCAGGAAGGCACCGTTACATATATGACTACTTCTTCCAGGGTAATTTGGCTTGATATTAAAGCTGCCCAGGCATATCTTCCCCCAGTCGGCGCCAATAGCTTCTAAAGACTGTACATGACCAACGGTTGGCACGTCTCCGAGCAGCATGACCGCCGTGAAATGGGAGAACCAGTCTGTGCCAAACTCCGCCAGGCTCAATGGGTTTATAAAGGGGTACGTGTCGCCCTTCTCGATCTCCTTGTTCAGCTGGTCGCACAGGTACGCCAGCAGAGAACGGGGGACCTCCTGTGCCGACGAGAAGGGGATTAGCGTCGCCGCCGTCACTCGGTCTCGCAGCGTCACCTGTCTCGGCAAGATTGCGGGAGGCAACTGGGGACTGCCGTTGCTGCCACTGCTGCCAGCACCCGGGCCACTGGCGGGTGTTACCGAGGTGGCTGCAGGGTCATGGAACGCTCCCGCGGAAGTCCCGGGCGAGGTGCGGTATACCGGGCTCCCTACCGGATCGTCGCCAGCGGGCCCAACACTGACAGCAGGCATGCTTCAGCCTTTCACACTATCTTTTTCCCCCTTTGCCGAGTCAGATATATAGATCCTTGTCCAGTCCTGTCTTCGCCCCTGGCCCGAACGACGCCTGTACCTGTCACGAGACCATCAGCCTTAATCAGCCCCAACTGGCTCAGCCTTTTATGTTCCAAAAAAATTCTGCATCCAAAGAGGAGAAAAGGACCAAACTCGAAAATTTCTTCCACCGACAGGAAGCGTATCGCGGCGGCAGACTCGCAGGCTCTGGCTGCTACCCACCCAAGGGCTCACCCGCGAACAGAACAGGCCTCCCTAACTGTGGAACTGGCGGTGCAAGGGGTCCTTTACCTGGGGCTGGGGGGGGGGGGTACGCACTCTCAAGAACGGCTTCGTACTTTGCAGAACGCGGGGAGTTTTTTGCAGCAGGAACGAAAAGGCGGAAAAAGGAGCGCGAGGACGATTTTCTTGGCGGCGCTACGGGTTATAGTAAATCCGTATGAGTAAGCTACCTAATGGCTTAGGTAAGGTGATGTGATGTTGATAGGCAGGCTTGGCTCATGCCCGTCGCTGTTTCTCGCGCTGGAGGGCCTTGATGCCGGTTCGATCGGTCGCGATGGTTGCGTTGATGATGCGGTCAAAGGCGGCGTCGCTCTCGTTGCCATCGTCGCTGTCGCTCTCCTCGTTGCAGGCGTCTTTCGCGGCTGTCACACCTGCTGGCGACGGTACTACTGCAGGTCCAGTCGCTTTTGCGTCTGGCTCGCGGTCAGGGGAAGAAGCGGTGCCAGCAAACGGCTTGGACATGAGTATCTTTCGCCGGATCTCTGCCATCTCTTCCTCATCGTCATCTTCCTCCTCTGACTCCGGGAATGGATTGTCTCTCTGTAGAGCATTCCGCGGGATCCCATCTTCGTCCTCGTCGTCATCATCATCGCCTTCTTCGTTCCCCTCCTCATTTTCCTCGTCTTCGGAATCCGAAAGAAAGGCCTGCCTGTTTGTATTCCCCGTAGTCCACATATCGTCTGGCCCTTTCCCTTCTCGGTTCTCCGCGTATTCCTTCTCGATCTTCGCCAGCCACTTCTCCTCAGCGGCCTTGATGTCTGCTTCTGTCTCACAAGCTGCATACCGCTTAAACAGCTGCGAGTTGATCTCTAGAAACGGCTGGCCGTAACGGAAGTGCTGTAACACCTCTTCAGCCCAGTCTTCGTGTCCACAGATCATGAAAGTCGCAGCCAGTGCTTCAACGCAGTTCAACCGCCACGGTTTGCCATAGTTCACCGTGTTTGCTGCCACAAGGTAAGGCACTGTATCCCAACAGTATATTAGCATTGAATCCAGGCCGCCGTCACACGGGATATCACGCACGCAATCTCTCTGTCTTTCCGCCAATTTTTGACCAAGGTACTTCGCTCACTCGTACCCATGAACACTCCACCACGGCTGCACCATACTGCTCGAGCAACGGCTTGTCAGCAGGGGAAAGGGTCTGCTTTGCATTCGGCCTATGTTTTGTTCCTTTTCATCAGCCGTGTCCCGTCATGATGTACAGTCTTGGGTAGTTACATACGATATTACCACGCCCGGAAACTTATGTCCTATACCCAGATCGCGCATATATCCAAGCTGCATCAATCGTTTGCCGGAACATTTCTTCGGGTCGCAGTGTCCCAGATCCCAGCAGGCAGCTTGAAAGGGCGCGCGAGGCCGTTTTCCGTGCTCATCTACTCCATCTTTGATCACTGGTCGTCGGTAGTCACCCCGCTTGCTCTTGCGGGACATCGTGTCTTTTTTATGTCGAACCATCCTGAATTAACGACGGTAGTCTATCGGCAAGGAGCACTGTCTTCCGCCTTCTGGAAGTCCTTGTATCTCAGGGCAACTGCTCTCTATGAAACTAGTTTAACAAAACTAATCTGCTTCTTCAACTATTCATGTCAATGTTAAGGCTGATTATAGAACTTTAAGCCTCCCGGGATTTGCCTGTCACGTGAGCCTCTGCTGATTAAGGCTCCTGAGCGAGAGCTAACATTGAAGAAGAAAATGTACTCGGAAAGCAAAGCATTAGGGCTTGGGTTGTATTATGCCCGTCTCTACTCTGTTTTCCACTTTCCCCTTCATCGAATAACGGCGATGATGCGCAGGTTTGTTGAATGCGGCCCGTCACGGACTTAACTAGGGCTTAGGTCTTGGACTTTTGAACTTCCGGATTTTCCGTCAGTTGACCCTTGGATGCAAATCTATCCTTAGGCTTCCCCAGCCCTCACCAGGTTCAATTCCATGTTTTGTGTCCCCTACTCCCCTCAATTTCCATTTCATTTGCTGGTACTTTATCAGAATTAAAAGCATTGGTTAAGTACTAGGTAGTTCTATGCAACAAATTATACCCTTAGCACCGCAGCGGGATCTACATGATTCCTCTTCTACGCGACAGTACTGGAGCCCGCATGTTACAACGCTCATCACAGGCCAAATCCTTGTTTACTAGGCACTTCCTGGATGACTGAGGCTATAACATAGGGTGATCCCCGCAAAGATAACTATAAGATCGCCAATGACTTCGGATACTTGATGCAAATGAGTAAAGGTCATTGCATTTTACTTTGCCAAAAGCCTTCCATCAATAAGGTACTGATAGTACCAATCACACTAATTAAATATGCGAGTATGGTCGTCATTCATCTCCGGCTAATACTGCGCATTCGCGTGAATCATGGCCAGGCTAAATTTAGCCCTCCCTAGCAAGCTCAGCACACTATATGAGTCTTCATGCTGGGTGGCAATGAACAAGTTTTTAGGTGTACTTCAAAGGTCAACATGAAGTCTCTCAAATTGATATCCAGAGCCAAGAACGTCCTAAGTACAACTAGCATGTGAGCTCAAACAGGGTTAATCACCGAGGTTGGATTATCTACAACGGCACTAATGCATGCATGTCGATCAAGCCATCGCTGCATACAAATATCCTGACTGCTTTCTCGAAAGAGTTGAAGAATGACCATCCATCAGCTCTGAGCAGATTTTCTGTACTATCCCTGACTCTCGTTGCGAATCTAAGACACATAATATCAAATTAAATATTGGACGAGGAACTTCAAGGATGAAACAGAATGTTGGCTTAAGCGATCTCTCTATCCCTTGGATGTACCGAAAAGACAAACTTCGCAAGGGTCAAATGTAGTTGAGGACCCTCTGGGTGAAAGACAACCTGAACCTAGGAAGGCTAGTGAATGCCGATTCTCCTGTTAAATGGCTAGCACAGCTAACGGTCCATTCACGACTGGGCAATCGGCTATCAAAGCCGGTGCTTAGCTATATATCATATGATGCTAGAAAATATAGCCTGAAAGGCATTGTGAATGTCATTCGTGTCCGGAGAAGCACGTATATTTCATATAAGAAATTGTATCAATGAACTCACTCCATTCTCGAGACTATTTCGAATGGCTCTCAGTCATACTCCTCCCTGGCGAGAGTATAACCATGGGCGTCTATCATATCTATTCAACTAGATAATCCTCTAGGCAGAAATATAGAGTGGTTAATCAAGCCGCATATCTATTCTGGGTACCGCTAGCCATTGACACCGGATCCTGATTCTCGGTTTAGAACGTTAACAATTGCTGCACTTACGGAAATTGCATAGAAATGGGTAACAGTTCAGGCTATAGGGGTCTATATACTTCAGATTGTCAATATTATTTTCCCTGATGGCTCGTCGAAAGTCCTTACCTAGTCGACGGCTAGCTACATTAACTATCAAAAGGGCGAAAAAAAAAAAAAAAAAAACCAAGTGTTCTTATCAACCTAGCTCAGTAATAATCTAATGTCACTCTAAGGGCTCAGGGGGAAGCGTTCTCGAGAGCAGTTGTCGGATTATAAGATAATCGAGGATGTTATACTCGAATAACGCCGCGGCAAGAAGCGCGCATCGGCTAAGTTGCGCTAGCTGACGAGTTAACTTGTTAAACTCGTTGACTAAACTAACTAGTTAGCTTGCAGGGGCTGAAGCCAGCCAATCGGCGGCCAAGAAACCAGACACAACTTCTTGCTGCTTCCGTCGGCTTCACAATCTGGCAACTTCGCGGGAGAATTGGAGGGAGAACACAGACCACAGAACAAGTTCCAGGCTGGCGCAGTGAGCCATGCACGTACACCTGGGACACTCGGACTTCCGCTGGTATTTATCTGCATATCCCCCATAGATCCCAGCCACACAATGCACATCGGCTGGTGCTCGGTCTTTGCAGGCGGCCAAATTCCAAGGAATCAATATGGACGAGCCTCTATCGCGAGCATGTTTAGCCTAAGGCCGGAGTTGCACTGGTGACGTTAACTATGTCAATCTTTCTCCCCTTTCTTCGAATTTTGATCTCCAGGGCGTACGTAAAACCTGTGGAATATCATAGTACAGGCCTCTTATACTGTCGATCATGCTCCGTTCCCAATACTGATATACAAAGCACGAAGCTGATCACCGCGTGAAATGGGAAGGTTAGCCTGCAGTAGGCAACGGGGGGAAAGGGGAAGAAAGGGACGAAAGACTATCATCCAGTTTTGTTCTCGCCTTTCGTTTCTTTTCTTGTTTGGTAACTAATGAGCTCTGACTCTGCGGATGTCCCATCGTGTAACAGAGCCGCGCGACTCATTGGAGTGGTGGAGGACAGAGAAATAGCCTGGTTGGCTCATTTTTCCTTCAGAGTTGGAGAGTTGCAAATAGCGGGTGGTATATACTCCAGGCACAGAGCTCAGATATAATAAATGGGCGCTCACGTTCAACACGTCGTCATGGTCGCATGACGGATACCCTGGGGATTGACATCCATTGCGCATCAAAAGGCGATTCCCCTGTTTTCCTGGTGGCCGACTGCATATATAAGTGAAATGCCAGCGTCCCTCTGTGTTCCAAGTGTCTTGTCGCTCCCCAACGGATAGCAGTGACAGCACGCCAATTCTCCTACACCATGACATCCATGATCAAAACTCTTCTCTTTACAATGGCCCTTTTCGCCTCAATTGTGTCCTCATCTCTTCTCAGCGCTCCCAGATTTCCTAAGAGATGCATATGTGAACCTCCTACGGAGCTTCCTGGAGTCAAGTTTATCCCTTATCGAAGGAATCCCATGAGTCCTATCCGTTATGTCCAGTGTTTTGCTGTAGGCAGTTCCTGCAATTTTGACTCCGACTGCCCTAAACCTTCTGAGGATCACTGCGCCGCTCTCGCAAAGACCGAAAGACGCGTTGTTCCTGCCTCGTCGATATGCATAAGTGGACTCTGCCGTGTGAAGGATGCCCTGTGGAATGACTCTTGCGATTGTCACACAGGATGTAGCAAGCACCATGATTTGGCTTGCGTGGAGGGAAAGTGTACCCCAAGCAAGTGTACTCCTTGTGGGGAGAGGCCGCAGCTCATTAAATGCTGCCCCCCGGGAGTGATGGGGCATGACGGTACATGTGTCTGCAAGGCTTCAATGACCGATTTTTGACATTTCACATCGGAGACTTCATGGTCTAGCAAAAAAGTATCTTACACTCTTCGATGGCTTCTATCGAGGGAGGCCGGGCATGAGAAGGTCGGCATGGGGTCCGACCGAGCGAGTGAGAGAGTGAATGGGACACTGGATAACTTTGCCGGCAATCAATATGAAATGAATATTCAATTGTTGCCGGTGACTGGGTTTATGTTATGTACTATGATACCATGGCGTTGGCTTTTCCTTTTTCTTTTTTCCTTTTTTTTTTTTTTTTTTTTTTTTTTTTTTTTTTTTTTTTTTTTTTTTTTTTGCAATTTACATTCTCTCCCCGTTGAACATCCTGGCCGATGCATCGGGTTGAAGAAACGCGTAAGGATTTATACTGGGATTTTATTTTTTCTTCGGTCATGTATCGTACGACCCCGATTGATACCATATGTGTTTAATGCTAATGTACTCCGTAGCCTGTACTCCGCAGAGTTGAATGCATGCATACGACAGATGTCAAGCGTACATCTCTCAGCCACGAGGCGTAATAAAAAGAGAAGAAAAGGACGAATTCTCGACAACTAGTGCAGAAAAATAACCATAGAATAACTAATGTGACATAACTCCAGGCAGTCGCCCTTCTATCTAATGAATGAGCAGCCTTTCTATGTACGATACCCTATATCTTATATTATAACACATCGATGCATCAAATAGAGCAGAGAGGATTACACCTAGGCCCTCTCTGCCACACACTGCCAGCCTACCCTATGAGCTAGCGTATTTTTGAGCTAACCTAGTAGAAGCATGCAGGACTCAAAGGCGGACAGCCTTAGGTAGTTCATCTCCTGAACGCAACCGTACCACCCTGCATTCCAGCTATATAACAACAATTCCCAGGACATCAAATATAAGCATTTTGCCAGGATGTGAGCGTAAAACTAAGTTACAACACTGATACTTGATGGGGATATAGCCAGTGATTGATCCTAGAAGAGCCGGAATGTGTTGCAGACATGATAACAAAACCGGTGGTGAGTCATTAGGGACTTAACTAGTCAACTGACTTGGGAGGCATCTGGATCAGAAAAACACCCTTTGCTCCTTTGTCAAGTATAACTGGTTATTGGCTTGGTATTCTTTTGTTATACCGATATATCACATCCTGTACGGAGTACTCGGCACATCTTTCAACTGACACCTTGAGCCAAGCTTATTCTAGGATCAATCGGAGCCCCATCCCCTAGCCCTTTCCTTCTTCATGCCTTAAGCTTTGTTGAGACACCCAATATTCTATCGAACGGTTCAGTTGAGGACCCGCGGGGCCAGCGTACCATGGAATTTCCTGATACATCCTGCTGTGGCCACCAAAGACCCGGTACTACCCGGCACCATGTTGCTAACCACGGTTTGCTGGGTATCATAAACCATGGATTAAAGGTGACTACTTATAGTGAATGACATAACGATGACGAGGAGATGCAACGGTGAGGCTGGTAGGGAGGCCGGGGGCAAGGTCGGGGGCGAGGTTGGGTCGAACGGGCATCCCCCAGCCTGAACAGCAAGAGCGACCTCGCAGAATAGCAAAGAAGCTATGACGGCGGCGGGCTGGTAGTATCCTTGGCTGTCTTTTGCATGTCTAGACAGCTTGAACCTGCGCCTTTCAACAGAACACTTAGCTCGCTCTGTGGGAGTTACTGGACAGGCTGGGCAAGGAACGGGTTGGCATGGAGCCAGCCATCGCAGGCACAAATATGAATGGCTCTGACAGAACGAAAGGAGCACTGTTAGACGGTATCGGAGCCTTGGTCCGTTATTTCGACCAGTGCTGGGATATACACAATCAACCATTCGTAGATTTGATCTTCCTTGGCTGTCGATGGGTAGTGATCATAGCTGGCGTTGATGGGCTGCCCCTTTACTATGACGTCGAACTTCACCTAAGCGCTGGCTTTTGTTCTATAGACGCTTAGTTAATTATCAGGTGTATTCACAAGTAAGAATGCATACTGAAATAGACGAAGAAAGTAGTCCTGGTCACAAAGGTGAAGAGCGTGATGGTTCTTAGCCTCGACATGGCCCAGATAGGGATTCAAACGGGAGCAAAGTGTCTACCCTCAGCCTACTGACGTATTTTATTAGAAGTAGATATGATTGAAAGTAGGATATATATATACCTTGAATAAAGAAATACTCAACAATTGCATCAAGTTTCCATAATTCATTATTGCCAGGGACGGGATATTATTATATTTTGCTCTAGAAGACTCTCCTCGCACTAGAATCAACGAGATGAAATGATGCAGGGCAATTATTGCTCTAGAGAGACAGCATAGACCGCAATGAAGATGCGTCGGCCTGTTCCATCCACCCCCGCCGGGAGATAAGATACCTCGGCCAGGCATACAGCTTTCTACCGGGGCCGCCAGAGCGAATTGAAAATAATACTGAAAATAGTATCGAACATTGAACTGCATGCGAGTCGTTCGCTGCTTTTATAGCTGTAACCTGCTGACTAAGCACCAATAACTTGTCAGTTATGGCCCGCGATGATGAAGATGACTGAGGATGATGAAGACGAAGTCGAGGATGAGGCTGACGAGCTTCGAGAAGAGACAGCCGGTAGAAGAGTGTATATAAATGTAGGCACAAGGCAGTAGTTCTCCGTATCTGCGTCTGCTTTGCCCTGGCAGGCCGCTCTAAGGAGGCCGAAACGCTGCGGCCAAGCCTGAACTAACTAGTAGTTAGTTAGTTAGTTAGTTAGGCAGTTGACAAAGCCGACCTCGACTTGGTGATAGCTTCACGCAGATAACTAGCCAGGAAGATAGAACGGCTTCTGGCCTCAGCGCTAATGTGACTTCTGCCCTCCCGACACTCGACCTTCTCTACTGCGTCTTTTAAGAAACCGACAACCTGGAGGCGACGTCAGCTCGGATGGCGGCCAGGGACCGCTTCAGCGCCTACCTGGAGCCACCCGCACAGTCGACGCTGCAGCGGTATATCCGTACGTTCTCTCCCTCGCGCCGGTGCACCCGGGTGTCTTTGCTGCTTCCTGCCCAAGAGTGAAGATGGCTGCTGACCGAGTGACTTGGACCAGATAATGCGTGCGATCCCCAGAACTACGAACCGAACCTGGCCCTCAACCTGGAGGTGGTGGATTTGATCAATACAAAGAGGGGAAACGCGTGAGTGCAGCAGTCCAGCCGTTCGCGCTGGATTTACTTCTCTATTTTCAATGGGATGAAGTCCTAATAAGATGCCAATGGTAAAGGCCTCGCGAAGCAGCAATGACCATAGTCCAGTTGATAAACTCCCGGAATGCGAATGTTGCGATGCTAGCCCTCGCTGTATGCTCCTACCGTTTACCCCCCCTTTCCCCCTTTAGCATCTCAGGAGGTATACGAGGCTGACTGCTTGGCCACTCTGATGTTCTTTATACTGCCTAGTTGCTCGACATATGCGTCAAAAACTGCGGATACCCGTTTCATCTCCAGATCAGCACAAAAGAGTTCCTGAACGAACTCGTTCGAAGATTTCCCGAACGACCGCCTATTCGACCATCGAGAGCGCAACAGAGGATCCTCGAATCGATTGAAGAATGGAGACAGACGATATGTCAGACCTCAAGATACAAGGATGACCTCGGATTCATCCGTGACATGCACCGTCTTCTCCTCTACAAGGGTTATATGTTTCCTGAAATCCGTCGTGAAGATGCTGCCGTTCTGAACCCAAGCGATGTATGTTGGTCCTCCTTCAGTTGCTACGTACCTTTAGCTCAACAGTCTATGCTGGTACTAATGATGCACACCATATAGAATCTCCAATCTGCCGAGGAGATGGAAGAAGAAGAGAAGATCGCTCAGTCCGCAAAACTGCAAGAGCTGATACGAAGAGGGAACCCGGATGACCTTCGAGAAGCCAACAGACTGATGAAAATAATGGCAGGCTATGATACTCGACATCGGACGGACTATCGAGCAAAGGCGGCAGAAGAGGTCTCGAGGGTTCAGGAGAAGGCTAAGCTTCTTGAAGAGATGCTGGAGAATTTTAAGCCTGGAGACAAGTTATCAGAAGGAGACGTTTATGAGGTGCGTGTTGGCTGTCATCAGGAAGAGGAATGAGACAGATACTTACCTGACTTACACAGGAACTGGCCAGCGCTCTTCAAAATGCACATCCTAAAATACAAAAAATGTGTGAGGATGAGTCTGAAGACAACGAGGCTGTATCGAAACTATTAGAAATAAACGATAGTATACACCGAACGGTGCAAAGATATAAGCTGATTAAGGCCGGAGATGTAACTGCGGCATCCAACATACCTAAAGGTACTCTGGGGACGAGTACGGGCGTTAAAAAGAATGCTGCCAACGAACTATCTTTGATTGATTTTGGAGGCGAGGAAGAGCAGGTATCTGCTGCTTCCAACGGTAGTACAGCCCTTAATCCCCCTGCTGCTTCCACGCTTGAGGGTGACTTACTGGGCCTTTCCTTCCAAGACGAACCTCAGGGCCAGGGAAGTGTTGCACTCCCTCTAGGACCAGCTGAAGGTGAGTGATAACTTCCATACTTCCGTCCACTCTCACAGCACTGCTGCTTACCACTGAAGAAGGCTCTTCATCGGCTTCCCTTGCGAAGTCGCCATCAATACCTTCTACTTCAACGCCTACGCCTAGACCATCTGACCCATTTGCTGCTATTACGTCGGGAGGGTCAAGGACATCATCACCGTTTAATAAACTACAGAGCTCAGCTTCTTCAAACGCCGCATCTTCGTCATTACTAGATTTAGGCCAGCTAGCATCTGGGCCACCAGCCCCAACCCTACATGCACCATATTCGCCCCAACAATCCAGCCAGTCCAAACAAGTGACGCCAGCCCAGACATCTGACGCAGATGACGAATGGACCTTCTCATCTGCTCTTCCAGAGGAAACTCTACCCTCACAGAATACCATCGAAGTTCTCAACGCCACCATAGGAATAAAAATGCAGGTGAAACGCTTTCCTGGTGAGAACAAAATACATGGCCTTGTGTCATTCTCTAACAATACCCCTCACGCTATTTCAGAACTCCATTTCCAAATCGCCATTGAAAAGGTACAAGAAGCCGCCTCCCTGTTTCTGTTTTCTTGCTTGACATTAACCAACAACCCATGGGCGTAAGACGTATTTGGATGACTATCAGCTAACGACATGTTTCCTCTCTTTTACACTTTTGCAGGCTTATTCTCTACAGCTCCGGCCTCAGTCCGGCAGAGATATTGCGCCATATCAGAAGATTGGAGTTCAGCAGCAGCTCCAAATGGACGGAGTCCAGCCAGGCAAGGGAAACACGGTCAGGCTTCGGTATAAAGTGTCCTACAAGGTTGGACAGGAATTAAATGAGAGTGATGGATTGGTGCCATCGTTAGGTATCTCGTAGAAAAAATCGGGCTAGGGAGGCGGGCTACGTTTCTGCAGAATATATACCGCCTCGTGATTGACCTTGCTTTCCAGCCGCTATCTTCACCATTTGTATATATCGGGTCCACGGAAAAAAACGCCGAGGGTACTTTACTGGGGCCATATAGTTGCACAGCTACGCTTTTAACGCTTTTAACGTAATTCCTGTCTTTTTGGCACTGCTACTTTTCTCGGTGAGAGTGTTTTGAGAATATTTATGACGCTCCCTGGACGCATATTTGTCGATATATGTATGGCCATACGTCTCAACTCTGGATAGTGGTTGACAGGAACCAGTCTTTTAACTTGTTGGGGTAAACACACTGCACTGCCCCCTTTCCCTGCACTTGTAATCTGGCAACTTAGAAAGAAAATCTAGCGGTAGTTACCCAATATGAAACCACCTGAGACCAGAACGAGCGAAGCTCGATGTGTGTATGTAGCCTGTAACACGGGGAGCGTTTCAAGAGGCGCGGCCAGTCTCCACTTAGTTAAAATAGTTAGCTTGTTACGCGCGCTAGTGGCTCGCGGGCTAGCCGGCACTAGCTAATTTAGCCGCTCGTTACCGCGATAGAGTTCAGCTCGAGACAACGTCATGCGCTCCTTCTGCGCTCCTTCCTATAACGATACCACAGCATCCATGATGCGTATAGAGCTTGCTCTAAATATACCAACACGGTACCGTGGATCAAATGCCTGGATACTTGGCTAATACCACGCTACGGCTACAGTACAGCGCTTGCAGCCCCGCGGCCTCTGAGATCTGGTAATTCTCACCAGAAACGGTGGTATTGGCAACTCAGTGCAAGATGACACCCTGGTCCACTATTCTACCTAAGCCACGCAAAACAAACATCGTGGTAGAGCCCTGGTATATCACATACTTTTGGCCATGTTGCAGGCTCTGTGGTGGAAGTCCTGACGCAAAAGGGGCTCGGCCCAACGTCATGGCGATAACTCGCTTCTTTGCTTCTGGGGATACATTGTTATCCAGTCACCCAGGTGCGGTGGAATGGGATACGCAGTCGGCCTCATGTGCTATTGTAGACTACCCGTGTTTGGATATGTGTGTCCCCGTCACCTTCAAGCCCCAAGTAATTTCACATGGATCGTGAACATGCTAGGTAGACGCTTTGAGGGAGGCTGCGATGCGGTGGCCAGGATATTATAGGGGAAGAAACCACGATATATTTTATCTCTTCTTCGCGATGGAACTTTACTCATGATATCCTTCTCTTCAACGACTCTGGCCCAGAAGGTTTTCTTCTCTGCAGAGCGAGAGACTCCATTTCTCTCACCTGTCGATGCCATGGCTACGCTCTTTCCCTCCCGTACTGCCCAGAAACACCGGTACGCATTTTCGTAGGGGAGGGGTATGACGACAATATCTTAGGATTCACGGCTAGCGATAGTTCAACAGCCCCAACACTTCACCGCCTCGAAGATTCTCGTGGTTTTGGGTAGAAGCTGTGGCGTCTTATCTAGCCACGCCATATGACATACTGAGGTGAGTCACTCTATACAGTGATTTGCCCCGTGATGTCATGGCTATTACGCCTATAAAAGGAAGGAATTCCTCAGGAATTTGTCCCTTCCTCTTCTCTCTCTTTTTTTTTTTTTTTTTTCTCATCCTACACACCGTCGTTCTGAAGCTCGATAATATCGACAGTATTCATTGTGAGAATTATCTATCAGGACATACCAGCCTCTATATCTTCTCTTAATATCGAAATTTGTTACACTAGGCTCTCGGCCTCCCAACCTCGTTTTAAATCTCCGTTGGAATCCTCTCCCTTCCGCCTGGTTTCATATATCGGATATACCAGAAGTGAGTCACACAGCTGGCAACGCACAATATTATATCTCACGTAACTAGATATTAACTTGACTGCAGCACAATGGAAGGAGATTTCTGCTTTGACGACTACATAAGGACCTGGTCACCTTCGCCGCCTCCCCAGGATTCCCAGGTTGGACTACACAACTCATCCGCCAACCCGGACGAAGACCATCCTACCAGCCAGGCCACCGATCCCCAGGTTGGACTACACAACTCATCCGCCAACCCGGACGAAGATCATCCTACCAGCCAGGCTACCGATCCCCAGCCTCCTATCAGCCAGGCCGCCGATCCCCAGGTTGGACTACACGGCGACTACGTCGACTCGGCCCAGGGCCTTCCTATTACCCAGGCCACCGATTCCCAGCCTCCTACCAGCCAGGCTGCCGATCCCCAGGTTGGACTACACGGCGGCTACGTCGACTCGGCCCAGGGCCTTTATATTACCCAGGCCACCGATCCCCAGCCTACTATCAGCCAGGCTAACAATCCCCAGCCTCCTATCAGCCAGGCTACCAATCCCCAGGTTGGGCCACACAACTCATCCGCCAACTTGGCCCAGAATCCTCCTATCACCGCAGTCATCGCCGGTCTACACCAAGCGTGGTTGGCGAGGTACCGCTCTCACGAATCTGAATTCAGAAGAGCACACAATTCCAGAGAAAGGTGAGCCATCATACTTTGCTTCCTTTATTATTTACTAGTGTTCAGAACATTAAACTAACATTCCCACTTTTCAGGGCCTTCATCTGTGCCTCACGCAGAACGGGCAGGGACATTTCTATTCGGATGCAGTCAGCCAGAAATGCCTCGAAATGCCACTATTTTAATACCGGACGCTGGTTCAAATTCAACGAGGACGACGTCAGAAACTGCAGGGACTTCAATACCACTTTTGAGCTTCCTGGCTACTGGGATGAAGAAATTCAACCGCCTACAACCTGGAACTCCACTTGGCCACCACCGAAGTATGCGACTGATTGGGATATGAAGCCTGCGCTTCCTCCGCCCATTCCATATGAAGGTTTTCAAAAAACGCAAGTCAAACCGGAGAATGTTGTACTGGCTGTCCGCGGTGGAAACCCCCGTCCCACTGGGCCACCTCCGGGTTATGAATTCGGATAAAGCCCCTACACCACAGCGCCCCAACGGCCATTAACTATCACACACTCAACATCCTATAACTCGTGCTTTGGCTACCTCTTCTGGCTGTCTTGGCTCTTTTCTGTGATTGATTCTCTTTGTGGATTTCTCTTCTCTATTTATCTTTTATTTTTTTTTTTTTATTTTTTTT